AGAACGAAAAATACCGGTTCTCACGGTCTCTTCGCTTGCGGATTTTCTTATTTTTCTTTCTACCCTGAAGATGGAGGCGATACGTTCCTCCGAAACGTCGGTTAACACCACATCTACACGATGCCACATCCCAGAAGACTGTTTTCTTCAAACAGAGACATGTTTTAAATAAAACTCTATCGAGGAAGTTACCAAAGTCCGCCCTCGTGTTCTGTGCAAGCCAAAAATATCGGCCTTTCGGTTTGTCCAGTGCAGTTCAACACGTCAGTGAGTTCTACAAAACTCTCGCCTACTCTTCGTTGGAGGATAACTGGAGTGAATATAAACACCGAATGGTCTCCTACTCATTTCAGCCGGTGGACTCCCTACAATTATCTGTTAGTAATGTCTCTGATATGGAACAAATGTGAAGTGGATAGTCTCCACCCTGAAGATGGTGGCAGCAGATTCCCAAAAAAAATTTGGTATCTGATAACATGGCCATATATTCCTGAAAAGGGTAATCTACATTTTCTTTTCTTGTTAATTTATGTATTTAGTTATGTACTTAATTCATTGTTTACTTTTAAATTTTGTTTACAAAATCATGCTTACCTATTTACTTGTCTTTCCCTTTATTTATTTATATATTTCTTTATTATTTAATTTCATTATTAATTCCTGGTTTCCTCTGTTCCCTTCCGCTCTATGAACCAAATTCTCTAATTCTGCTTTAGGACACCATAAATTGTGTGAAAACAATTTTTGCGGTTGCTTCTTCACCACCCAGTGACGTAGATAGTTACGTAATTATTAAAAAGTTACTAAAGTATATTTTTAAAATACGAGGGAGAGTCAGTAAATAGGTCAAAAATGGATATAAAACGCGAAACATGTGATATTCAAACACGAAAGAAAAGAAATTATTTCTCGACATATAACTGATAAAATTGTCCCAAAGCTTTACCAGAGCGTCGAAACACGCAGCATAAAAGTATTTTGACTGTTGCCTCAGCCACTTCCGTAGCTGGTCGGGTATCATGTGCGACTTTCGAACGTCCTTGACAGAATTTCTCAACCCGGCTGTGAACCGCTTTACGCGACAAACACTTTCCACCATAAACAGGAAACATTTCTTTGTGGATATCCTTTGCATTGAGTCCTTTTGTCCACAAAAAAAGCATAACAGAACGGTGCTCTTCGGTATTACACGCCTCGAGCACGGTCACCGTTTTCACTACTCAAACCAGCCTCTCAACATGCGCATGCGCGTCTTCTTTCTAGACTGTCATGAAGCTGCTACCTAGTGATACACATAGAAAACCTACTACGTCCATTGCAGCTGTTTTACTTATATTTGTGACGTATTTACTGACTCTCCCACGTACGATGGGAACAAATATCGCTATACCGACCATCTCGTTGTATGCAATAGGACTTTTCTTCCCTAATGTTACCTACTCACGCGACGATGTACCCACAGAGATGTTTTAGACAGACAAATAATGAACATTTGCTTCCAACTTCAGGGTTGCAGCGAGGAGGTTTAATGCAAGTTCAACGCTCTCTATCTGATTGAGAGTCTCTGTGAGTGCAGCATCCACGCGCGTTACAAGTAGCGCTGTCTGGTGCCACACCACAAAAACCAACTTCTCATGTGCTGGCATGTTCAGGTCTTCAAATGCTGTCAACAGAACACGCTACGTGATGAGTGGTTGGGGAGAGGCACTATATGTACATAGCACTTAGACAACTGGTGGTTCCGCCTATTCATGAACAACGCTGTACCAACTGCACACGTTATTTTTTTGTTGAATGAAATTTTTTATTTTCCGCGAAATCGAAATACTGGCTTATCCAGTTGTCTCAGGTGTTAACACTTCTGTCCGGTTCTAATTTCGGCCGGGACACAAACTATTCTGAAGATCTAGCGTAAAGCGACGTTTCGGGGGAACGTATCACCTCCATCTTCAGGGTACAAAAATCCGCGAACGAAGAATCAGCGTGAGCAGGTGGATAGGCCGCACACCGGCATGCATCAAGACATGTAACAGTCTAGACACGATGTCTGTGACATGACGCAAAGAAAGGAGCACAGTTGAAACTAATGCGATTACGAAAACCGTCGCACATCGGTCTGAGTCATGATGCTGACGTCAGCTTCGTGCTGACCAATCACGAATGAAGCAAGACTGCGTCTTTTGTCCATGTCTTGATGCTTGTCTTGACGCAGTTGGTGTGCGGCCGCCCTTACACACACTTTATATAAGATCTACACGACGCCACATCCCAGAAGACGACATTCTTCATAATCACCGTCGTGACAACCCCAAATCTTACATGCGTGTATTCTGAAGATTTTCATGATTTGCCTTTTTTTTCCTTGGCGCTACAGCCCCAGTGGGCCTAGGCCTACCTCCATGAACTTCTCCATTCACTTCGGTTTATGTAGATCTTACACATTCGGTAGGACTCCTTGGGCGAGTGATCAGCTCGTCGCAAGGCCTCTACCTGTAGACAAACACAGAAAAACGCACACAAATATCCATGCCCTGAGTGGGATTCGAACCCACGATCTCGGCTTCCGAGCGAGCGAAGACAGTGCATGCCTTAGACCGCTCGGCTACCGTGACCGGCAAAAGAATAAGTAGCTATACCATACACTAAATAGTAGTAAATAAATTAATTAAGTCAATGAAGCAATAAGTTGTCGTGGCTTATTTCAAGGTACAGTTCGAAATGGGAAGTGGTGACCCGATCAGTGTAGGGGGGAGACCCCTCTTCTAAAATTTACTGTGCCAAATTTCGTTCATTTTGCGTAGTGAAATGAAAGCGCAGACAAATTAGTGGGTGCGACAAATGGGAAAAATTGTTCCCAGTGAGCTGAAGTTCTAGCTAAAGAATTTCGAAATTTCAAACATCGTTCATTTAGTTTTAGCTACAAAGGTTTACTTTCTTAGTTAACTGGTTTGTCCTGACTTAATTTTAGTCAGTCATGTTTATATCATAATATTTTGTTTCTCAGTTGCTTATTTAGTTTTCTAACGCCCTGTTATGTGAACAGGATGTGGGGAAATGTTGATGACCACAAGATGGAGTACTACCTCGGTTTCCTGAATACCCTGACCAACGCATCCTTGTACAACTTGCATGAATTCGAGAGATATGAAAAAGACACAACACTGGATAAGATAGGAGACCTTGAAGATCTAGCCACGAAGGTAAGAATGAAAATGAACCAATTTTCCTGACTGTTCCTTTACGTTACGTTGCAGAGCAACGTCTGCTTGCAGGCAAGCGCCTTCTGCTTGTTGTTTAATTCTTCTTTGCTTGGCTTAAAATTCGACATTGAGGACAGAGGCAGTAGGTTTATTCGAAACGTCGGTAACCTTCTACCAGAATGCACGGCCTCAGAGGCTGAGATATCGCAGTTGATATATCGACTGGCTACGTCCTGAACGACTGAGGGGTGGCAGTTTGAGACCTGCTAGGAGCGAGAATTTTTCTCGTCGATACCGGCTCTGGGGCTTACCCAGCCCCTTATTCATTATGTACCGGGGGCTCTCTCCCCGGGGTTAAAGCGGTAGGGGCATGATGCTGACTATTAATCTTCGACTAGTGCCGAAGTGAAGAATACATGGATCTATATATCCACTTTTCCATACGCCTTTATGCCGTAACATCTAATTTGTTAAGCATAAGGGCAACTTTACCTTACAGGTTACACGAACCTATGACCATTCAGAGAAATTAATTGTCCAGTAGCATACAGGAAGACAATGGTCTCCAAAATACGGAACGTGCCCCCTGAGGGGGGCTCTAGCAGTTGGATAGGGGGACGGGATATTCTGGGAAAGTTATATAGTAAAATTTACCTGATTATAATTTTAAAAATGTCACATAACATTTGTAAAATATAGATAAATATTAATGAACAATAAAGGTAAATTTATCTGAGTGTTTAATTATTAAGCACTACGCTATGAAGACATATGGGGGAGTGGAGGTATAGTTCCACCATTCTTGACCTCGGCACTGGATGGAAGTGAGTGGTCAGCTTCATGTCCTAGGGACGCTATGGAGAAGAGGAAACCCTTGTACCTGCCGGAAATCGAACCCGGGTCGTTTAACCCGTGCCCCGTCACTATACCGACTCTAACTATTAACTGATGGAAACCTGAATAGGCTGACTGAGGAAGCTGATCTTTGTGCACGTGCGCGAAGTTAGGAACTTTTGCTAAGCCGAGGCGGCGCCGAGCCACTGCAAGAAGATACATAAGTTTCTCTTCATGTTCCCAGGTTCAGAATCGCCTGCAGCAGTACGACATCAGCCTCATGGACGAAGAGACCCGAGTAAAACTGCGACCCACACTCAGCGAACTGGGCCTCTGCTTCACGTGGGGATCTAGCATTACCCATCTCTTTGCGCCGCGGTAACGGGGAAGTCCCTTTCTCTTCTGTATTGTGGTCTCGTTGGTGATTGCCGACGTTTCGGAGGAAACTATTACGTCCATCTTCAGTGTAGATATATATACTAAGATATTGTCACCATCTCCTACCCACACCTTCAGGGTAGAAATTTGTAGTCTTGTAGGTGGTTACCAACGTTTCGGAAGAACATATTGCTTCCGTCATCAGGCTGTAAATTTGTAGTATTATGATAAGTAGTTACCATTACTCGGAGGACACGTTGCCTCCTTTGTCAGGGTGGAAACCTGTAGTTACCATGTTTCGGAGGATCGTACTGCCTCCATATTTAGGGTAATAAAATTAGTCTCTAAGTGGTTACAAAACTTTCGGAACAACATACTTCCGCAATCATCACGGTAGAGACTGTAATGTCATAAATCGTTATAGGAGAATGCAGTCTCGTTAGTAGTTATAGGTGTTTCGGAGGAATATATTGCCTCCATCTTTAGGATAAAAAGTGTCATAGCCCAAAAGACCACCATCTATGCATTCATTGACGTCACAACCTCAAAATTAATTTATTTTACTTATTCAACGGCCTTTGTATTCAGCTGTTTCGTTAATCTGTACGCATTTCGATATACTCCTATCTCTTTATTTATTAATATATTTGTTATTTCTTTCTTGGGGTGGGGTGAGACTGAGTCCGCTCGGTATGTTACCCACTAGTGGCCTATTGTACGAGCCCCGGGTGATAGATGATGAGTGTGCAGCAGTCGGCTGAATGAGAATTGGCAGGGGAAACCGAAGTACTCTGAGAAAGCCTGCCCCAGTGCCACTTTGTTTATCACATTCCACATGACCTGACATGGGCTCGAACCCGGACGACTAACTGCCTGAGCTATGACACGGTCTTATTTATTATTAACTACTACTGTGGTGACAGAATGCGAGTGTTCATCACCATCAGTGCAAAATCCTGCCAGTGGGAAGAATCCTGAACTATCCATCTTGAAATCTTCTAGAGAAATGGAACAGAATAAGAAAAACTTCAGCCAGGACGGTCGGTAACAGGAAACGACTACTTCTTGAGATTTACCGCTTTGTCAACCTGCTCCATTCTTCCAGGAACGCGTCGCCACCATCGCCAAGTGAAGATCTGGTGACGCCGTGTCGCTATGAAGACTTGCCCCGTGGAATTCACGTCTCCAGTCTGCCGACTGACTTAAAGGTAAAGCTGAGGAAACATCTTCCTCCTAAATATAGGCTACCCACCTATAATGGTTCTCGTCCTGTTAATGATGAAGCAGTGTGCTTCTCCGAAACGTTGTTACCAGACTACACGATGTCTATTTTGTAGAATATTCGACGACGATGTCGGTATCACTTCAATAGTAAACAAGTAAAACGCGCTCGGAGAGGCCCACCTCCAGTGCCCCAATAGGTAATCCCACAGCCCCCAGGGGGCGGTACACTAATCTAGACCATATAGCATCAGATGCTAGGATAACTGATGAATGATGAATTGGAAGGAGTCTGCTAGGAAACGGTAGTGACCCAATCGCAGTTGTACCCCGGTATTTGCCTCGAGGGACTGAGGAAAACCACGAATAACCTCAATCGGGATTGCTGATGTCCGTGCAGAGAATCTAACGGAGCATTGCCGCTACAATAACCAGCTCGACGCGCGATACCATAATGCGCAACATGGCGACATTAATCTCCAGTGCCGCCGAGATCTCACGCCTCGTAGAAACAGTTGACTGTCCACGCCGCTTAATTGCTGGAACAAGCACGCACTTGGCGCTGCTGTCGCATTTGGAACAAGAAACCAGTTATCGCCTTGTGAATCTGGAGGCCTGGTTGTGTAAAAACACTAACAAAACGCAATTATACGAGTTCCTGACGTTATCGTAATTAATTACTGCAATATTTCCTTTGCCAACTAACATTTCAGTGACATGTTTACACGACCATCAACATTCGCATCAATCGACGTCACGGCATCCTGCGGCATTCCTCGCAGAATTCCTCTGCTTCGACTGCTCTTAGTAGAAGCGTGTTTCGTAACTTCCCACTGCCTTCACTCTGTCCTATGTGTAATAAACAGGGTTTGAGGTAGAGCCTCTGTTTCAGAATTAGGTAGACGCTCCAGTTCAGAACTAGGAAGATGTTCCAGTTCAGAACTGCTTATAATCTCCAGTTCAGAACTAGGTAGACGTTCCATTTCAGAACTGCTTATAATCTCCGGTTCAGAACTAGGTAGATGTTCCACTTCAGAACTGCTTATAATCTCCAGCTCAGAAGTAAATAGACGTTCCAATTCAGAACTGCTTATAATCTCCAATTTGGAAGTACACAGACGTTCCAGTTCAAATCTCCAGTTCAGAAGTAGACGTTCTGGTTCAGAACTAGGTAGACATTCCAGCTGAGAACTAGCAGAATCTGCAGTTTAGTAGAAAATCCCGGGGAATAATCAGCGAATGCTGAAAGCAAATTGTTACAATGTACGAGTATAGTCGCGAATTTGTCCATTCTGTTGTGCACGACAGCTATGGCGGATTAAGGTACTGGAAATAGCGTCCTCGAAACGAAGTGCTCTGGAGCTAAATGGACGGCGTCTACCCACGTCTACTCCCGTTTCCAGTTACTTCTTCGGTAAGGTTTCTTATTCAAGGTGCAACGTACCCTCAAACATGTTTCAGACAATCAACAGGCTTGTGTGTTGAAACGCCGTGTATTTCAGAGTAATCCCAACGTTTCGGAGGAACATATCGCCTCCATCTTCAGGGTAAAATTCTAAATCAAGAAAGAAACCAGCAGAAGCCAGCTTCATGTTCACCGCTATGACAACCTAAACATTAAATAAATCGAAGCACAGTGCTTTCCCTGTTACACAGTAACGGGCTCCCTACTGCTCACAATGGCAATGTTTCATTTTCTTCCCCAGCTGTACGTACATTCCACGGATGATATGCCCTTGATCCCTAGAAGCAAGCCACACTGGGAGTTCCGAGGTTTTGAACGCGAAGTGTACGTGCAACACAAACAGACTGTCGCTTCACCGGAACTCAGGCGTCTGAACCCGGAGCAGAGACGCTGTCTCTTCCGGGATGAAGTGAAATACCATCAAGTTTCGTCCAGAGAACCTACACTTCCGTTCTACACATATAATCTGTGCAATATGGCGTGCAGGCGACGAGCGGCTTCGAGGGTGTGTGGCTGTATCCCATTCTTCTATAGGACTCTGGGTCAGTGAGAATTCTTTGCGCTCAGGTAACCCCAACTTTAACCGATCACAGAGACCGCGCGGTCTAAGGCATGAACAGTTTTAGCTTTCTCGAACGCTGGGATCATGGGTTCGAATCCTACTTAATGCATGGATGTTCGTGTTTATTCTGTCTTCATGCAGGTATCGGCCTTGCAACGGGCTGATCCCCCGTCCAAGGAGTCCTACCGATTTTCTTAGAATTAAGAAACTGAATTGAAGCAAAGCGTTTTACGGATGGCCTATGCTCCAAGTGGGAGCAACAGGAAAGACAGAGAGAGAGAGAGAACTCCAACATTCGGTGCTGAAACTGGACAAATTAATTGACCCTCAGGTTGATTTAATTAATTGATAGAAATTATTGCAATGACTGGTTAAAATATACTGAATCATAATTGCTTATTTTTTGCTTCTTACTTATATTCCGGAGAAACTGTGTTCGAATCTAGACCGAGGTATCAAATATCCTTAGACTTTCGTCGTCTTTCTCACCCCCTTAATGACAATTCCGAGATAGTACCTTAAACTAGGCCACCGTCACTTCTTTGAGATTCAATATCTACTATCATCAGATCAAGTGAATTTGTACAGTCAAGCGTTTCTGACTGAGGCGTCTCATAACTACAAATAAAACAAGTGGAGGCAATTTACTCGAGTCTATAACGTCATACAACAATTCAGAATCCATACACAGGCAAATTTATGATATTTATAAGTGTACCCACCTCGAAAGTTTGCACATTCGTCACGTTAACTTTACTGTTGCAAAGAAATTAGAACTTAACAAATATGGAGTATAGCATCAGTATAAGCCTAAATACTGCCTCAGTGGGCGATAAATTCTGCCTTCTCTAATGAGAATAGATCAAATTTGTCCAAATTTCGTCACTGCAAAATGAAATTCAAGACGCTGTGACGAAATCCGTCACTGATTTCGTAAATCTTGAAACAGCAGTCAAAGAAATATCAATAGAAATATGGCGTCAGCTGGTAGCAACAATTCTATGTTGCTACTGGTTTGAGGTTACACAATTAGGCAACAATGCAGTTCACAGTTGCACTTACATTGATACATAACATGTTAAATTGACTGCAACTTAATGGCCACGGTATGAAAAAAAAATGATTTTTCTTTAATGAAAAGCCATAAACGCAGGAGGCTGTAAAATGGGTCACTTCCCCAGTTCTGCATCATGCCGACCATGACTGTGTGGTCTCTTATTGCACGAAACTCCTTCACATTATCATTTTACGTCTTAGAAAAGAAAAATAATACTTTAAAAATCACCGATGTTCAGCCTACTGTCCTTATTTTGAGAAGAAAGTAGAGGCAGGCTTATGAAATAGACCAACTCCCTAGTCCCACCCAGCCTCATATCCAATAGTTACCGGGGACTGTTTCCCCGGGGGTAAAGCAGCAGGGGCGTGAAACTAACCACTCACCTCCATCTAGCGCCGAGGTCAAGAAAGATGGAGACACAACTCCACCCCCCTTATGTCTTCATGGTATAATCCTTAAGTAATTAAATACAGAGACAACTTTACCTTATCTTATGAAATAATTTTGCTCTATATGCCCGCCCCCCTGACTTTTTGTTTTCTATGTGATCAAGGTTTCGCAAGAAACTGTGGGCTCCAACGTAAGAACAGAAAATTTTCTGAAGATGGAAACAGAACGTTCCTCCAAGAAGCTAGAAACTATCGTCTCAAACAACAAGGAATGACCACAGAAAGATTAATCTTTATGATCTCAAATCTCACTTCAAATATCACTGTTGACCAGGTGGAGGGAAAGTCTGCGACGCGAGAGGAATGGCCTGCCTTTCCAGATTCAAAAGCAACTTGACTGAAAACGTTCAGTGTTCCTGTTATGAGACGTGCGAGTTGACACGCTACTCAGTGGAGAGTGACGGCGCATACCCACTGTAAGAAAAGTGATTGAGTAATGCTTACACGTAGCACTAGTTACTCACAGCTCGTTAACTACACACAAACAGGCATTTTCTACAAATGTCAGTTAGGCTGTCATTTATTTGGAACAGTTGAATTTCTTTGTTCTAGGATTTCGGATTACGCGGTTTCCGAACTATCTGTCCAGTTCTTCGTGGGAATTAAGACTTTCACTAAGACGCGTCTTAGAAGGGACGTCATCTACAGCTTCGAAGATCTTCTGGGTAGGATCGTGACTCTTCGTTTGCTCCCGTTTATGTCGTATTAAACTGTTGTTACCGTGGTTGGGGCCTGTTCAAATGAAACCCGTTCGAGGATTATTCTAGGAGTAAAGACCGTTATTAACAGACTCTCGTGAGCGCTGAGGCACCCACTGTTCCATTTTACTCCAAAGGACGCGATCTGTTGTACAGCTCGTGTTTGGTTGCTGGTGTACCATGCACACAGCCATGTAATAATGTGTGCCGCAAACGGGTTTCATTTGAACAAACTTCTTACTTTGGTAGACTGTCTTGGCCGAAACACTAGTACCTTTCTACCAGACTAAACTGCGTCACATTCCAGACGACCGTAATATTAACAACACCACGAGCCTCAAATATCATGTTGTCATGAGTTCTTTACACAACGTGCATAAAATGAAAGCATAATGGGTAGGTCGTGACTGTAAAATCAAATTTGTGTGGAGGACAAAATACGATCTCTGCTTCAGATTCTCGCCCTGTAACCAGAAAAGTACCGGGTCTGAGATGAAGCCACCATCTTAAAGGTCGAGGATGTGATAAGGTGCTGCCTGTCAGGGCTATCGCACACCTCAGAGGGTGGTGTAGAGTAGTATGGAGCAATGGTGAAACGGTAATTAACACGATAAAACCGAAGAAACATTACAAGTATAACACGAAGTTGCCCAGAACTGAACCCGTAACTCAGTGGTGAGTTGTATTAGTCTTAATATCCAGAGACAGGGACTAGATCTAGTGTTTGGGCCAAAAATTAGGTCTTTCTGAGGACGGAACAGAGTCCGGTATCCGAACTTCATCTCAGATATTAAATCCTTCCAGCCGCACTATGCCCCTGGGGTCGACTCAGCCTCTAACAGAAATGAGTACCAGGAATATTCTTGGGGGTAAGGGGAGACCGGCGCGTAAGGCTGACAACCTTACCGCCATCTGTAAGCAGATTGTCTAGAAAATGTGGGAACCTCAACATCTCACAACCCTATGGGCCTCCACGGCCTGTTACAGGGATAAATTTACTTTCACATCTCGGATAATAAGAAAATGTAAATTTGTCCCTGTCCTCAACTAATGAAGCACTACGCCATGAAGACATATGGGGAAGTGGCGGTATAGTTCCACATATTCTCGATCTCGGGACTATTTGGAGGTGAGAGGTGAGCTTCACGCCCAGGGGAAAGAACCCATTACACATTAGATTGGAGGTTAGGGGGGCTTCAGAAACTGTCTGGACGGGAAGAGAAGAAAAATCTTGACCCTACCAGGTCTGGAACTCAGATCCCTTTGCCGTCCAGCCCGTAGCCAGTCGCTAACCCAGCTCCCAAATAACAATTAAGATGATGGATAACATCCACAGGATTCATCACTTTATCAACAGATCACTGTCATGAAATCCTAGATCTTGCGAAGCACGTGTGGTACTTAATTGAACACGAAGTTTGGTAAAAATAAATGGAAATCCTCTCAGGAAACAACGTGCATCATACCTTAGGTAAAATGAGTTATGATACGGACCCAACTGCAAGATGATGAAGCATATGTTCCCACGAATGTTTCATGACGTACTTTCTTTGCAGTGTCTTTTGGAGGAACGGTCAGTTTCTTTCTTGGGTGCAGCGTTCTGAGCGGTCTGGAGTTCGCGTACTACTTTACACTGCGGCTGGGATGCAAGGTCTGGATGAGGCACCACAAGAAGATTACAACACGCCGCCCAGCAGCAGTGCAACAGCCATCTATGCGCGTAACACGCTCCATTGCAGCGTTCGGTACAATTAAGTCGGCAAATATTCCGTGGGCCCAATAAATTGGCTTCATACGCTCTTAATTGCATTTAATTTTGTCTGAAAAAGAAACAATTAAGAGTAGATGAAATTCAGCGGATGTCTGCTACCATTCGATTCAGAACTTTTTGTCTTTCCGTTTGCTGTCTAAAAACGTAAAGACAAAACTATCATTTAGAAAACTTTCTGTGTTCTTGGATGTACTGTCGTAGATGCCGGTAAAATTCAATCGACTTTTCGGAGGAACATATCGCCTCCATCTTCAGGATCGAAGTGTAAAGCAAGGAAGAAAGCACAGCGTTGCTGCCTAATGCTTTTTTCCTTTGGATGTTATGATCCTCCGAAACGTCGGTTGACTTTTACCAGACCACAAGGCTTTATATCCCAGTCACGGCTGTGAGAACCTCAAATTTAACAAAACTGTAGTTTTGTATCGGTGTGGAACCTGGTAAGAGCATAAACTAAATCTGAGAATATTTGGACGTGACAGGAGGAAGGAGAAAATTATACACTGAGGAGGCTGATATCATTCAAATGATCAAATCAAGTACTATGAGATGAACAGGCGCATGTAGCATGCATGGCACAGAAGAGAAGTGCTTACAAATTTCTGTTGGAAAAATCTCAAGGAAAGAGACAATTATGAAAACCTATGCGAAGATAGGAAAATAATATTAAAATGGTTCTTGAAGACATAGGATGGGATTATATTAAATGGATTCATCTGGCTCAGGTAAGGGATCAGTGTCGGGCTGTTGTGAACACGGTAATGAACCTTCGGGTAACATAAAATGCTGGGAATTTCTGGAACAGCAGGGCACCTATTTGCTTCTCAGTAAGAACTATGTTCAAGTCAGTTAATTACTTATGCTGTTAGATCATTAGTTAGCTCCTTGCTTACTTGGCAGTTACGTGTAGAGTGTGATGCAACAGTAATAATAATTCAATTCAATTCCTTATTACTTCTGTGCTGAGTCAACAGCCACAAGGCCAATTACGGATACAGGTAATTACATTATGGGCTAACACAACATAAAGTCAAAGTCTTATACACACCCAGCTGGTGATGACAATCTTGAATACGAAAACAATAATAATATCTTATCAGTGCAATGACAACCAATTACTTCTGGAGTACAGCCATCTTCCAAAATGTCCTTCATATCAAACATACCTCAATGGACAGATGACCTTCCTTGCTCCTTGATCAGTGAAGTGTTGAGACATCGACCAAGGATGTGATAATGTGCTGCCTGATCAGGGCTACTGTACACTTAGGCGATGATTACAGAAGAGTATGGAGCAATGGTAGAATGTTGATTAGCAGGGTAAAACCAATATAACTATCGTGCAACCATGAAACATACCAACAAATTTCTCTACTGAAGTAATGGTATTGCTAAGGTAAAAATAAAGCTTCCCTCTGCTTAATCAGGCACCACAACATGAAGATGTCTGGGGGAAGGGAGGTATAGCTCCATGCATTAACTTCAGTACTAGTCGGAGGTGAGCAGCTAGCTTCATGCACAAGTCACTTCACTCCTTGAGAAAGAGCCCTCAGTATCCACTGGAGAGGGCCCCAGAACCAGTCTAGATACTGTGGAGAAGAGAAAAATTCCCAGCAAGTGACATTTTCTGTAGACAACAGAACAGGAAACTGATCCACACACCACATTATATGAAATGCTTTTGATATACAATATATATAATTTAATGATTACAATGTATACAGTGTTACAGGATAGAGACATATTTAAACTAATACGAAAATGGTATTATATAAAAACAAATTACAATTTTTAACTTCAACTTTCAGGTAATATTTTGATCATGTTTCAAACCCTATAATTTGAGCATAATGGTTACACATATCACATGACACATATTTGGAACTTGAAAGTAAGAACACAATATCCAAACATTACTGGATCCTCCCATCTGAAACAGACATTAGTATTGCTGGAGTGGAAACAAAACAATGAACATCCTGAACCAGAAGGCACTCAGATACTTAGAAATGTAACGCAGTATAAAGTTACACTCAACTTTACAAAGTTGTTTATATGATTTGTTTTTGAATGTTTAACAATCTATCACAGTTAATAATACTGGTCATGAATATTCCCTGCTGAAGTAAATATCACAGCCTTTTCAGGATTAACAAAGGCAACAAATCGTGTGTTACAAATAACAAATAATTTGAAATAAAAGCTGACTGGCATGAGCTTCACGTTTACAATACAGTTTTGTAATCCATATTACTGAATACTAAAATACTACTAAATATGTTTATAATCCTTTACATAACAAAGTCTGTAAGTGGACTTACTGTCAGCATGGTACTTTCCTTTATTCAGTGACCATCTGAACTCAGTGAGATTTGAGGTTCTCAAGGTGGTGACAATAAAACATATCACCTTCTGGTATGTGACATTATGTAGTCAGGTAAAAGATGATGACATCTGGGAGAAGTGTACAGACTCCACCTTCAAGGTTGAATAAGATGAACAAATATGAAGACTGAAATCTGGTGGAAGTTTACACACATTTTTGGAGAAAAGTAACGTGTTCAGCTTCGAGGCGAAGCCAGGTAAGAAAGCATACTGGAGAATGTAAGCCATTTTGAGGAAAACAGTGCCTGAATCTTCAGAGGTAAGAGTAGGTCTGGACAGCATGCAGCGTGGAGAGTAAGTTGGGTGTGTAAAGTGTGATGTGCATATATGTTGTGGTAAAAGCCATGAGCAAACACACAGAAGCTAAAAGAAATGTGAAAATATGACAGGCCTAATACAGGCCCCTTCAAACAAAAAACAGTACAATTTTGGCCACTGATTCTTTCACCTTCCTCCTTACTCCTTTTGGTTCACTCAGTCCTCTTACTCCAGTCTACATCTGTACCTTTCCCTGCATGGCTTACTCAGCTTGGTGATTTGTTTGGGTTCCTATTCAACCCTGAAGATGGAGGTGGTACATTCCTCTATAAAGTACGCAGTGCTACAACCCACAAGAGTACACCTTTCAAAGTCAAAAAACATGAGAACCACAAATCCAAAAGAAAGAATTTTAATTGAATAGCCACCCACTGTGTAGGCGCGGATGAGACAATATGAGACATTCAGAAATGATATGGTGCAACTTTTCTCTGTTGCCTGTGAAACAAACTCTGGTGCCAGGGCCGCTTAATCATGCGATAAAATGGTTGTTTCATGGTGATGGGCTCCCCATAGTTGTTATACAAAGTGACAGGTTCCCAGGGCTCCAGGACCTCCCCATACTTGTTATACCTCTCATAAAGGTCATGTGACCTCGGAAGAACATTCTCTTTGTTCACGGGTGGATGTGGCACTGTAACAAACACAAAATAAACCAGTGACTATTTTGAATAAATCTTGATTGAGTGCAATAAAAGCCATTCTCATCTGGAGACTTGTTGTACAGATATTTCGTTGTGCCTACAGTCGTTAGCGCTGAACAGTGCATGAACATACACAGCAGATGAAAGTTACTGTATGTTATAGTATTCTCTCTGACCTACCAAAGTATCCCACATCAAAGGTGATTACCAAACATAAAGGCGTGTCCACATTACTCATGCTCGTGTGACTCACTATGCTTGCGAGTAATGTGGACGATCTGACAAGTCACAAGACAAGCAAATTTTTAATTTTTAATTTAAAAACTATAGCCAATAAATTAAAATATGACTACAGCCTATACACACTATGAATAAATATACGGATCCTCAAGTGCCGAAGCCTGGCAAGCAACTGAAGTAGTGTGGACGAAGATTTATGAGCACAAGTAAAAGCAGACGAGCACAAGCATGTCAAAAACGAGCATGAGTAATGTGGACACGCCTTAAGAGTGTGCTAAATACCAAGAATACAATTATAATTCAGTTCCAGAGATGAAAGACAAAGGAAGTGACAAATATGTCGCTTCTTTTGTGTGGCTTATCTTTTATCCAGACTATACAGCATCAGATGGTGGTATGAAGTTGGTAACAGTAGTACGCTTCAATGATTACAAGGGTCAGTTTTATCATTCATCTTATGAGGGGCTACAAAAGCAGACTTCTTCCATTAGTGAGACAATTCTTCCTTAATCTAATTTATGAGATTGCAGACAGCAGAAAGTAATGTTTCAACTCCATACTGAATTACTCCTGCTGGGATTTGATCAGTATCTGGCAATTTATACCTGTTCAAATTTTCAATATCAATTTCAACCTCAAAAGGACTACGCCCAGCTGTATGAATTTCCATCTGCCTAACATCACTGACTGTACCGCTTTTTGGAAACTTGTTAATTTGCCTTGCAAACATTTCCTCTTTTTGCTCCTGAAATATCTGCTAGCTCCATGTCTTCTGTTCAGATTATTTCCATTGATGTAATTGTTATCACGTAACCGCTGCAATACAGCCTGTTTCCCTCGACTTAACAGTTCTGAACATCCTTTCAAACTATGGCTCATACTACTTCCAACCATAATGACTTAAGACCCTCCTGCCTGATATTCCTACATTCCCTTGAACAGTCTCCAGAGCCCTACTGACATCCACATCATCATCTCAGCTTCTGAAATCTGCAAACCTTTCTGTGATCTTAGCCCGATTCTGTTCATTAACTTCTATCTCGTTTAGCTTCTTGGGACCGTTTCTCCACAATATCAAATCTTTGCAGTGCTCACTTATTTACTACCAGTTCTTCCTATCATCTGCGACCACAAAACAGTCATTAGTATCAGAATCAGCTGTTCTGAACAATCAGACAACAGTACACTTTATCACTCTGACTTGTGTCTTTCCATCAGGGCAAGTCCAAGTAAATTCATGAATGTCGTGATACACGACAAAATGTACCCTTGAAAATTATATGTTAGGATGTAGCAGTTTCCCATTAATATAAACTCTCATCCCCGACTTTCAGTTTGAAAATACCTTCCCTACCTACTTTGACATTGCATTGATAAAACTCGGATGTGGCAATTTGGCAACTGATCGAATACACATTTTAGTTAATAAAACACTAACACGTACATTTCCTGAAAAAAGAAAGATGAACATTTTTGCTATGGTGGGTCTATGGATCTTTCACAAAATGACAAGTGAGCTGCAAGATACAGAAAGTTGAGCAGCACTGCAGTACACAACAATTGAGAAGCGTGAGACACATACATGATGGTGGCACCCTGGAGGCCTTCTTGTTCTTCTTCCTTCTTTGCATTAACCCTGAAATCCTATGCGTCTTCACTTGTGGCTGAGATGCAGGATGCTTCAACTCCACTGTAGTGCCTCTGTCAGGCTCCTCTGCATCCACAAGTGCAGGAGGCAAGGAAGGGAACACAATCTCCGCTTTATCTCCGGTTTCATGATTCTGTATAGATTCCAGAATTCGGCTATGGAAATTACCAGGCAGCGGGACATTCCAGGACAAAGCTAAAAACAGTGACAAATACAGTAAATTCAAATTGTGATCTTCTACGTCATGAAAGCATGTAATCTTGTGGGTAGATACTAAACATACCATCTCACCATCTTCATGGTTGAAGTGTGTAGTCAACAACTAGGTCAGCTATGTAAAGAAATAACAATGAAGGCAACCAATCAAGACCTCAGAAAAAAACTGATATATACTGTAGTGTGTACAATTGTTGCCATGCAACTATCACAAGAAGGAACTTGCATTGCTTAGTAACAGCTGGTAGACATGTCAACAATACCTGGGAAATTGCTAGACAGCTGCTCAATACATGGGTTCCTGCAGCAGTGAATATGCATGTAGCGGTCAAGGTATTGTTGGACTATAACAAAGGAAGCAGAGTTTTCTGTGGTCCATGCTGAAAGGTCATAAGTAAGGGACAAAATCAGGCGGGGTCGAATACTTTCACAATGACCCTGCAAGTTGTAGGAGGTGACGAAAAGGGAAGTCTCAATTCTGAGACACTAAAATATGGTCGCGAGTCCCAAGGGACTCGGACCCAAGTAAGACTGCGCTGGCAAGGGCCAGCAGCATACACAGAAGACAGACCCATCCTCTCGTCAGAGAATTTGCCCCACAGAAACAAGACCGTAACTGTCAAATGGTAATAATTAATATCTGGTCATGAGCCCCAAATGGGGCTTGACACCAAGACTTACTGACTGACTGATTGACTGACTGACTGACTGACTGACTGACCATCAGTTTAAATGTGACTTTGACTTTGAGTTTGAGTTGCTGGGCAGTTCTGTAGAGGAGACTGTGAAGAGAAGACTTTACATGTGCTGTAGCACAGTGATATTTTAAGGGTGTAATTCAGTGAAACTGTTATAGTTACTGTGCTAAATGGCTAGTTTAGACTGTAATAAACTGAGGACACTAGTGTGTGTAACAGCGTACTGCAGAGTGAAGTACATAGCAATAGTGTTACAGTTATTTCTAGTATGACCTGTGAGCAGTCCATAAATCCAGTTATCACTCCAAAATCTATCTACAGTCATATCACTATAGTATGTAAATATGCCAGAACCAAATCAGAAAAATATCAAATGCATTACCCAGATGAGATGCGAAGAAAACACACATAAAGAGGAGGAATAATTATGTTTCAGCATTTGAACATGTTGTACAGTACATGGGTGTTGGGACACACACTGTAAGGCTACAGAACATCAGAGTAAACTACACACACTGTGGAAGATTAACACCACTATGAGCCTGCAATTTCAACACACAAAAATCATTTCATAAAAGACTTTTCGATACACTTCTAGCATTAAAGCTTAGGCAGTTAGATGCAAGTATTTCAGTGCAAAGCTTTAGGTTTAATCCCATATGACTTCAAATGAAATTTGTGGTGGATAAACCAGCAATGAAGGAGAATTTTCTCCAAAGCTTCCTTACTTTATCTCTGCAAATTATAATTTCACCATTGCTTAATCCCCACCCCTTGATATATGCAACAGTCCTGACCAGGCAGCATATTAACATGTCCTTGGTCTTTAAGTTGGTGGCTTTGCCTCTGACTTGGCTGTGTAGAGAGCAAGGAACTTAAGTTACTTTATACTTCATAACGTCAAGTAGATATTTTGATGTGGTCAGTATCTAGAACATACAGCATAAAATGAAGTCTTATTGGGTGGTATCTCATGTACCGACCTCCTCTGTGGTCTAGTGGTCAGAGTTCCTGGCTACAGATCCAGAGGTTCAGGTTCGATTCCCAGTAATAACAGATTTTCTGAGTAGTAGTGGGACTGGAACGGGGTCCACTCAGTCTTGTGAGGATAACTGAGGAGCTACCTGAATGGAAAAGTTGCGGCTCCAGCTTAGAAAACCGAGATTAACAGCCATGGGGATCTGGTGCACTGACCACGTGACACTAAAGTTGGCACTAACTTCGCCAACAAGTGGTGGTCGCTTAGTCGGTATAGTTCGCTTGCGGACTAAAACCATGGAGTTTGTTTTGTTTCTTTTTTGTTGATATCTCATGTAAATGTGAAGTCTGTGACTGAGGCTCCAGGGGACTGTCTTAGTCTCCATCATTGGAGAGTCATTTGACGAGTGCTGCAGTCACACGCAAGCATGATGGAGACAGAATCTCTGAAGCATCAGATACTAACTTCTCATTGACATAGCTGACAGCCTGAGAAGCCATCACTGGATAGGATGACTGATGAATTAGGAAGTATCTGAAAGGAAGCAGTCACAGTAGCCAGTGTCCTGCCCAAGATTCAAACTGAGCATCTCTAAAATACGTGCCTAGAGTGGTACCACTACGTTAACTCACCCATCATGTCAAATTTCACACGTCTCTATACGGTTGTCCATACACTGCAGCAAAGTACACCCATAATTCTGAATATAAGCAGAATGTAACTCACCAATATGCGTGAGAAGAAGATTTGTCATATGTCGTACAGGCATTGGGAGCCAGTGGATTCCATCAGTTGCCCTCCTGAACAACAAATAAAGAACATACAACCTGGTTGAGGGACTAGCCCCATTATGGCCTAACTACACACATCAGATAAATGATGGAAAATTTTGCCATAGGCTATGTAAAGTCACACTTCTTTTGACACCATCCCACAGGGCACTGGTTCATTATTGTGCTCTTTATTCCGGGACAAATTTCTGCACGTTTACTAACATATTTCACGAATAAAATGAATGATTCCATGGATTCTGTAATCTAAAGTGCCCCATATTTTGAATGCAACACTAAAGTGAAGAGAAGTGTTTATGACATTCTGCTACAAAGACATGCTTTATGAGAAAAAGCTTCAGGCAAGGCAACTTAACTGTCGATGCCTTCAAGAGAAAAGCTCCACAACTACTTAGAAAGTTAACCCACAGCCATGCCCACCTTCCAGCATGTAGAGATAGTCATGCACTGTGCATATTTTGTCGGTAAGTTTAAGGAAATTAATAACTGAACTATACTTGGCCATTTTTTGTTTCATAACGACAACAAATTATGATTTTTGGAACACATTTCTATTTTTACTGTGCTGAAATAGCCCACCATAACTCTGATTCATTTAGCACCCTCTTTTCCAGGAAGGCATTCATAGTGTTCAACATGGTATGACTGTAGTTGATGCATGCATCTCAACACTATAACATTACATAAAATAATTTCCAGATGGCTTTAACAAATTATATGCTCAAGTCTAGTTTTTCTTGTGATGGCTGATTTCAGAATACAAGATTGAGAAAACATATATAAAAAATAGAATGGAGTGTGAAATATACAGATATGCAAAATCAATTACAAAGATTGTGTGTCCTCAGAATATAAATATACACATGATGTTGTACTTATTTATGTCTGTTTATATGCTTACATCAAAATGTGGCTTTATCTCATTACACTGAATCTTAGTCCTTTTCAGACTGAAATTCATCTAAATAATGGTTAAAAATTCAGTTCTTACCTCACAGAAAACACAGTGCATCTTCATTAAAAAGACAAGGTAGTAAATGCTGTTTAGAGAAGAAACTGATGTTTATTCTGACAATCGTATGAGACTCATAAAGACACTGTGTGGAGATAATACAGATTTTCTGATTAATAACTGAACACATGGCACATAGTGTAATCCCCATCTAACATTCCTCAATTTAAGGTTAATGATTTCAATGTTAAACTTCCTCGTTGTACAATTTTCCTCATTCTAGTGTTTAAATCCACTGATTTCCAAAACAAACCTCAAACAAGGGCTTCATGGTATCATGATAACTTTTTATTACTGTGGTTACTATATATACCACCTGCTTTAAAGTTAAAAAAAAAAATTTCTTCACTTTTAGTTGGCACTAACTTCACCGACAAGCAGCGGTCACTCGGTCAGTATAGTTTGCGTGCAAATATGGGCCATGGAGTTTACACATGGCAGACTTCCTAAACTCACAGTAAGTTTTTGTAATAAGCCCTAACTAAATAACTTCATGAAGCAGAGCCTTTGAGAAGCTAATAGTTGCTCAGCTACACAAGAAATTCTCCAGCTTATATAGAACCCAAAAGGGGTCATGACCATATTCACAAAAGTATGTCAACACCGATAACATTACAATTACCAAAAGCAAACACAGTGTGTTCCTTCCAGTCATACTTGAGGGTTAACGTCCGTTCATGTTCTTTAAGCACAGGAAATTAAACAGAACTACCTGTGAATCTGCATACGCAGATGATGGTGAATATCTAAAACATCAAACCCGTGGGACACAACAATCTGTCGTGCGAACATGTTTGCTTCCATCACTTCAAATCGGAGAGTGTGCTGCAGAAATTCTACCTGTAGAATTGAATAATTGAAATAAGAAAATCATAACCAGTAACACTGAATGGAACTATTTAAATTTTTCATGAGAAAATAACTTTAAAATTGCTGAAGAACCATGTACCATTGAAGTAACTCATCTGCTGCACAGTATCGTTACAGTATCTAATATCAATTTGCTGTTTCACGAAATCTGAGGTTCTTATAGCAGTGGCCACGAGTAGTACAGCCTACTGGGACGGACATGACGCCACGCAGTCTGGCAGAAGCTGTCTGCTCCTTGCTGCCTGGCTTCATCTTCAACACCAGTGAACTCCTACCAGACTGTATGGCATCGCATATATTGGCAGTATAAGTAGTATAGGTCAAATTCTTCCTCAGTCACAACATGAAAGGGAAAACACTTCCAGAAACATGAATGTGGTTTACATATGAAATATTCTGTTTCATTTTAGAAAACTATAAATGTTACCCGAGCACGCAGTAGCATAACTGGTTGAGGCACTATGCTACATGCTGGAAGGTCACAGGTTTGATTCCAAATGAGGTCACTGGATTTTTGCAATTGACCTAATCCTTCCAGCCACACTATGGCCCTGTGGTTGACTCAGTCTCTAACAGAAATGAAAACCAGGAAACTTCCTGGGGGTAAAGGGCGACCAGCACATAAGGCTGACAACCTCACCACAATCTGTGAGCTGTCCAGAAAATGTGGGAGCCTTGACGTCTCATAACCCTATGGACCTCCGCAGCCTGTTACAGGGATACCTTTACCTTTTTACTTCACATTTTATAAATGTTACCAGAAGCAATCATTTTTATAACAGCAAAAACGTAGTCCTATAAAACCTAGTAATTATATTCCATCAAATAATTTTTTTGCTAGAATGTTTCGACAGTTCTAAAGACAAGTGCATTTCTTCAGTATAAATAGCATTCCCATTTAAAATCCCCAAGTAAAAACTTTGTTGCAAACTTGGCATTTGAAGCCCTAGAGACATATGGTAAAGGTCAAACTGTCTCAACGTGTTAAAAAGCTGCTCTCATAAAAGCTGCTTTAAGATTATTTATCCAATGCAATTTTGAAACCAGTTTCTTCATGCTTAATAAACTAATAATACGGATACAGTTTAGTGTTCTCGACTGTTTGTGTGAAGCGAACTCATCTGTTATGGGACTGTTTGACTTCACATGACAGCACTCGTTTCATCCAACTGAATGCAAGCTCACAGAAAATCTTAGAGCACAAGGAAGAAATAATCATTCCTTATGTTCATACACGTTACTGACCTGCTTGACTAGTAATGCCCCAAAGCAGGATGTGGAAACAGGTGGCGCTGTTGTCCATATTACAAGCGTTTCTGTGGGGAGGCTGCTTTGAAAGAGCTTCATCAGTTTCACCATGTTATCCCTGTATGCAGTAACGCCATTTGGTCCCCATCTGCAATATAAATGGCTAAGTTCAATTCCATATTGTGGCATATTTGCTCAAAGCAAGAACTGTGAAACCAGAGAAACTGATATTGCTAGATAACAGATGTGTAACACGCAACAATGGAGTAACTGTTGGAAACAATGTTTTCTGTGTGGTCCATGCTAAGACTATATATGAGGGGGTACCCAAAAGAAACCGAACTTATTTTTTTAAACTTATTTATTCAAATTTTAAGCACAAACCTTCAATCCCCTTCAAAGTACTCTCCACTTACGAGTATACTAATACACTTGTCTAGTCTTTTATTCCATTTTTCAAAACATTGTCTAAATTCATCTTTTGAGATGCTTGACAGCGCCTCTGTTGTTTTTTCTTTTCATGTCTCTTTTCATTCGAGGAAACAAAAAAAGTCACATTGGGCAAGGTCGGGTGAGTATGGAGGGTGAGGAACAGGGGTCATACCGTTTTTGGTTGAGAACTGTCGTACAGACAGGGCTGTGTGAGCAGGGGCATTGTCATGATGCAAAAACCAGTCACCCGACTGCCATAAATCTGGCCACTGAGCTCCAAGTCACTCCCGACGGCTCCACAATTTCTTCAATGGTCCGTCGTCGATCTTCCTTGATGATTTCACGAATTTTTTCAACATTTTCATGTGTTCGGGCCATGGAAGGACGACCAGAACGAGGTTTGTCATCAATTGACATTTCACCATTTTTGAAACAGGAAAACCACTCAAACACTTGAGTTTTCCCCCATAGCATCGTCCTTGTACGCCGTTTTTAACATTTCAAGAGTTTCTGTTCCACTTTTCCCGAGCAAAAAGCAGAATTTCACCACCTCACGCTGTTCACGAAAATCAGCCATTGCAAAAACGACGATCACACAAAACAGTTGTCACTATAAACTCTGCCGAAACTAGACCTTACCTTCTGAAGCAACGGTAGTCAGCTTATTGACTCAGGAATGTTAGCTCTATGCGCTCATAGCGGAAAAACGCGGTACTACAAAAGCTCTGCCCACAAAAAAATTAGTTCGGTTTCTTTTGGGTACCCCCTCGTAATGAGGACCAACTGGCACAGGCGGGTTAAAATACCTCCACTGTGACCCTGCGAGTCGTAGGAGGCGACGAAAAGGGAAGTCTCAAACCTGAGACAGTAAAATATGGTCACAAGTTTCAAGGGACTCGGACCCGAGAAAGAACGCGCTGGCAAGGGCCAACAGCATATGCAAAAGACAGACCCATCCTCTCATCAGAAAGAGCGCCCCACAAAAATAAGACCATAACTGTCAAATGGTAATAATTAATATCTGGTCATGAGCCCCACATGGGGCTCGACACCAAGACTTGCTGACTGACTGACCGTCAGTCGCAATATGACTTTGACTTTGATTACGAAGTCTTGATATGGCAATTAGAAGAGTAAGAGGTTGGCGTGAGACGGCTGTAAGCCTGCGAGGATGTGAGCTAGCAGCCGTAACTTTGTGATGCCTAGCTTTTTTGAAGCCACAGAGCGTATTTACTGTGGCCAATGGATGATGTTTCTTGTTAAATTATTCAGTCTTGTCACAATACAAATCAAAATATTCATGTGAAGAAAAATTAAAGATTTTTTGAAGTCTTGGTCATCGAAAAAAAAAATGTCAACTGCCATTTTTAGGTTTGGTAAAGGTTGTAGTATTTTAGGCTGTCATAGCAGCGACTACAAAGATTACTATTTTTTTGGGATGTCTTCTAATTACCAACTTTTTCAACCTGTTACCACCATCTTCAGGGCTGAGCATGCCACATATGGGGGAAAAGAATGGTACATCTAAGGGATAATGGGGACTCAGACCTTCAATAACAAATAAAAGGCCAATATTCTTTACACTGTTCTCCTTACTCCCGCTGGTCCACTCAGAACCCTGCTCCAGTCCTCCCTAAAACCATATGATTATTTTCGCACTTTGCTTAGTCTTCTAGCCTGAAGATGGAGACATAAGTCTTCAAAACTTTGGTAACTACCTACCACACTACATAACATCTCATCCCAGATTATAGTCACTTTCATAAAGAAAGGTTATTAAACTGATAAAACAGCTATGAAGCCTGTTCAAATGAAATCTGTTCGAGGATTGTTCTGGGTGAAGGAACAAGTAGTCCCCTTGAATGCTGGAGGCAGGCACCCCACTGAAGCACTAGACATTGAATCCTTTCTGCAAAGCATTTCCTCAGCTGCTGCTGGAAACACTATCACCATGGCCTTGATAGCTTCATCAGGTACAAGTCTATGATTCAGTACATCCTTGAGGGGGTCAAATAAACAGATTGGTTTCATTTATATAACCCTCATACTTACACCTTCAGAATGGTCTTAACTCGTCAGAACATCATCAGTTTTCATGTTAGTAATGGGGACTACAGGTGTGAAAGCCAACGATACTAGCGTCTGACGTGTATCAGACACCATGCTTTTGCTTCAATAACTGGAATGAAATCAGCTGTATATATGATACATACCTGCTGACAAGCAAACAAACTTGCCAAACAAACTCCATGGAGCTTAGTCCTTCTTGAGAAGCTGTTACTTGCTCAGCTTCTCAGGAATTTCCAAACATTTTACAGAAGCCAAAGGTTCATCAGAACAGTGCTCCCTTGGTCCCTGTACTGAGACATGTCAATCCAGTCCACACCACCCCATCCAATTTCTCTAAGGTCCATTTTAATATTATCCTTCAATTTGAGGGTTGGGCATGGCGCTAACAACTCCTTGCCATAAAAATTACTTAATTACAAAATGTTACACAGTGCCACAACTTGGAGAGTTACTATGAAAATAAATAACACCCAATCAGGGGTACTTCCTCACAGCAGTACCCCTCCAGAATCCACTGAACTAGTCATCTTACAAACCCACATTATGTGCTATACATGTGTTTCTATTTCCAGTCAAAAGAGGGATCCCATCACATTAAGATAATGATCAAAGTAGAGAATCATATTTTTTCCAATTTATGTTCTCTCAAAATGTAAATGCATATGACAGTTATCACGCAAGCAATATGGCAACTGTACACAACAAACATTGCATGACAAGTTAGACCTGAGATTATCAAAGCCTTGACTATGAGGAATATTACCTTTTGGGATGTGATGCTGTGTGGTCTGGTCGAAGTTCTATGAAATATGAGCGGACTTCTACCAGACTACACAGCATGGCAAGGATAGTAATGATATCAAGTACAAACAAACCATTATTATACGATGTGTGGCAGTGAATGTGCTAGGCAAAACGTATCTCAACTGAAAACTCTGAAGGAAATATGAAGGCACAATTTTTATCTCCAGTCATACTGAAGTGAAGTGATGTAAATTGTGAGATATTGGGTTTTTGGACTTTATCCATCGTCCTGGTTTTTGAGATAACTAAGAAAAACACGATGTTTCAGAAACTGGATGTTTCCGTCCTCAGGTTTCCGAAACGTCGTGTTTTTCTTAGTTATTTTAAAAACCAAGACGATAGATAAAGTCCAAAAACCCAATATATCAGTGTGTTATACACCATCATCAGAATCCTATAGGAAGTAAATTGTGTTGACAATGTGAAGAGTACATAAGTGGAGTGAACTGAAATAGAGAAAGCCATGGTGAAATGTGAGTGCATCAGTTCATGACATTACGTATTTCATTACTGTTACCGTTTAGTGTACAGTATGCTTATATTTTATTAATATTAATTTAATTGTAGTTGCAATTGTATTTGCATTGTATTCTTTGTGTGTAATGTGTCCTTTATTGTTTGTGTAGTTTTGTGTGCTGTGTTTTGTTCAAGTGTGGTGTGTTATTTGTGTGTTGTCTTATTGTAGTACCACTGCCAGGGAGTAAAATCCCATTTGCAGTTTAAATAAATAATAACATACCTGGTGATATCCCAAAGGCATGAATTCATCACAATTACATCAGGCGCTGGTTTTTCCTTCTGCTTTATGGCTGACATCATACGCTCAATGCTGCTATTCCAGCACCTCGTAATGAAGGAGTATTCCACACAAACATTGCCTCTCTGTCACACATACACACAGACACACAAATAAAATTAAGTTGGCCACGATTTCATGATGACTATTTCAGATAACCACTACCAACAAACCCAAATCCCCTCTGTATCAAGTGGTCCATTTATTTTGTGTCAACATAAAAAAGTTACCATATTTTCAAGACCATGAAACAATCCATACCTGGACAATTTACTTACTTACTTATGGAGCTGAGCCCTTCTTGAGAAGCCAAATCTGCAGCTACTCAAGAATTTCCCAGCATTTTATGGAACCCAAAGGTTCATTACAGTGTTCACAAGAGCCCTCCACTGGTCCCTATCCTGAGCCAGATCAATCAAATCCATACCATCCTATCTTATCCTCTAAGATCCATTTTCATATTGTCCACCGGCCTACGCACTGGTCTTCCCAGTGGTCTCTTTCCTTCTGGCTTTCCCACCAATATCCTATATGCATTCCTCTTCTCCTCCATTCAAGCTACATGCCCTGCCCACCTCATCCTCCTTGACTTGATCATTCTAATTCCTGGATAATGCTAACTAAAATTGCTTAGCATCTCAGCCTAAATGTTCAGTAAGAGAGCAAACAAAATGATAAAGATTTATCTAGACTTACTTATCTAAATGTATTTAGTTATGGTTGATGCAATGATGGTGTCAGACGCTCAGGCTATACAGCGTCTAATGATGGGATGATTGATGGATAACTGGAAAGAAGGTTGAACGACATGGTTGTGGCCTAACTTGAGATACTATCTTAGCATCTACCTAGAAGGATCGAGATATGATCTTACATCTATGTCCTGTGTAAATAAAGAGGTACTGAAATTCAATAGGCAAGTAAAGAAAATAAGCAAACTGAATCCAAATGTGAAACTAATGGAAACTGATCTACAAAGACAACACTTTACGAGGCATGAACAACATCTGAATCAATGGGGCAAAGAGTTGGTTGCCTCAGAGCTGGCAAAGATAATCAATCAACACTTTACTAAGTCAAAAATTAATCCTATCCAAATGCAATGGAAAGAGGATATTTTGCATGAAGAAAATTCAACTGCACAAAATGAAATTGAAGAAGTGGTGTTATCGAATAATTGTAAAAAGACTGTAAAATTAAATAAGTGTCAAGGTCAAGAAATAGAGGCTAATAGCAAAAGATCTATGAGATCTAGAAAAAAACCAGCAACAAAATCAAATGATTTTTTATGGTAAAACCATTTAATAAGGGTAAAACAAAAACTACGAAAAATAACATTGTAAAAATTTTTCACCAAAACATACGTGGTTTAAGAAATAAGTATAATGAAATATTATGTCATTTACAAGAGTATACACCTCAAGTAATCTGTTTCACTGAACATCATCTCGGTAGAGATGAAATAATTCATATTAAATTGACCAATTATACTCTAGGTGCATATTATAGTATGAAAAATTTTAATAATGGTGGTACGTGTATATATGTGCATGATAGTTTAACAACTCATACTATAAATCTTGATAAATTTTGCTGTGATAAGGACATTGAAGCCTGTGCTGTCACTTTAAATACTATAAATTTTAAAATAATTATTTTAACTATATACAGATCCCCATCCAGTGATTATAAAGCATTTTTGAGTAAACTGGAATTAATTCTACAAAATTTGTATAAAAAAAAAGGATAATGTTATTGTTTGTGGGGATTTTAATGTGAGTTATTTAGAAAACTCTCATAAGAAAACTAGACTTGAAGATATTTTTAGCTCTTTCAATCTTAGAAGCGTTATTACCTTTCCTACTAGAATAGGACCAAATTCATCCACAATTATTGATAATATATTTATTGATGAACAACATATTACTGACTATGAAGTTCTCTCTATCTCTAATGGATTATCAGATCATGAAGCACAATTACTAAGTGCACAATTTCCATTACCTTGTATCAAAAAGAATGAAATTATAGTTAAGAGAAATATAAATGTTTATAATTTGGCAGAATTTACAATGAAACTAAGTTATGAAAAATGGGAACTAGTTTATAACAATAATGACATTAATACTAGCTTTAATCATTTTCTAAATATTTTGTTAAGACATTTTATGAGTCATTCCCAATAACAAGTAGACAGAAATACAAACAGAAACCATGCATTACCACTGGTATAAGAATTTCTTGTAGAAACAAAAGAACAATATATCTTGAAGCAAAAAAAGTAATAACCCTATAATAGCCACCTATTGTAGAACTATTGTAAAATATTAAACAGAGTGATAAATCTAGCTATGAAGATGACATATGATAATCAAATTAAATATTCAAAAAATAAAGCTAGAACCACTTGGAGAATAATAAATAGTGAAGTGTCAAAGAAAGGAAATAGAGACATTATTCAAACCTTGGATATTGAAGGTAAAAAGAATACTAACTTGAATGATACTGTTGAAACATTTAACAGATACTTTAGTGGTATAGCGGATAATATACATAAATACATAAAAGGAAATGGTAAAACTATTAAATCAAAAACTACCAATTATATGACATACTTGACTGATGCATTTGAGAATCCATTACCTAGCATAAAAATTATAAAAACTACGAGTAGGGAAATAGAAAGGATTATATGGTCCCTAAAATCTAGTCAAACCCATGGATATGATGAAATTTTTAATAATATACTCAAAGCCTGTAAAACCTTTATTAGCGAATCGATAAGTTACTTATGTAACAGGACTATGCATGAGGGTATTTTCCCAGACAGACTAAAATATGCTACAATTATGCCAATATACAAAAAAGGTGATAAAAATCTAGAATCAAATTACAGACCTATATCCTAATTCACATCTATTAATAAGATTTTTGAAAAGGTAATGCATAGTAGATTGTTAAAACATTTGAATGATAATAGTATATTAAATAAACACCAATTTGGATTTAGAGAAAAGCAAGGGACTGAAAATGCAATTTATAGACTTATCTCTGGAATACTAGACTCTTTAAATAAAAAAATGCAAGTCTCTGGGATCTTCTGTGACTTAGAAAAGGCTTTCGATTGTGTTAGCCATGATATATTATTGGATAAATTGAGGTATTATGGAATAAAAGACAAACAATACGACCTATATAAGTCATATCTATTGGATAGAAAACAGAGAACTGCTATTTCCAATGGGACAAACAGTAATAAAGTATACTCACAATGGGTTAAAGTAACTAATGGTGTCCCGCAAGGGTCGATACTAGGACCACTGTTGTTTATAATATATATGACTTGCCCAAGATTCTAGAAACTAAGAGTATTCCAGTTCTATTTGCTGATGATGCCAGTTTCTTAATCTCTCAAGACAATCCAATAAAACTTAAAAATACAACAAACGAAGTATACAGAATATTGGAGGACTGGTTTAAACAAAATTTAATGTCACTGAATTTATTGAAAACATATTATATAAACTACACTGTAAAACATAATTTAGATAGAGAAATGGGAGGCATAGGAACGATTTTATTAAACATAAATTACATTAAATTTCTTGGCCTGACTATCCAAAATGATATAACTTGGGATAGACATATAGATGAGATAATAAAGAAATCAAACACAGCTTGTTATATGATAAGAAATGTAAAACCAGTGGTGTCTGTAAAAACATTAAAAAGTATTTATTATGCATACTTCCATTCTGTTGTGACATATGGAGTAATGTTTTGGGGTAACTCAACACAAGCTGAAAGAGTTTTTTTTAAGAAATCAGTACAAATTTCTGACATGCTATCCATCTCCAAGCCTAATTTGAACCCATGACCTCCTTAATATGAATGAAGAATGTTACTCATTTCACTGCAATATTCAGTTAATGTAAAGTAACCTTTTTCCCAAAATTCACTCCGCATGTTGAATAAATCACAGTAACAAGGCATTTGAAAGACTTTCGTAGAATATTTGTATTGAACAATCACAAACCTCATATCTTCGAACCTCTTCAAAGTCTCTTCCTTTATGCAGCGCACTGCATTTCACCAATGTATCTTCTAGATATGATTTCTCCAGCTAAAAAATGGAATACCGAACTCAATGCTTAGCACTGAAAGCCCCTGTAAATATTCTTTATTCTTATGTAAAATTCAAGAAAAGTGGTAAATACCCTAATATCTAATAACAATAACGGTTAAAATTCATTCACTTACACACTATTAATTAACCGTCACTCAAATTAAGTTTTATAAGTGTAAGTAGCAGGAGGACAACAAACAAACAAACAAACAAACAAACAAACAAACAAAACAAACACTGTGGCCTGCAGTCCACAAGTGAACTATACCGACCGAGCGACCACTGCTTGTCAGCGAAGTTAGTGTCAACTTTTGAGGATAGAGGGTGTCACGTGGTCAGTGCAACAAATTCCCACACCGTTAATCTCAGTTTTCTAGACCGGAGCCGCTATTTCCTTCAAAGAGCTCCTCAGTCATCCTCATGGGGCTGAGTGGACCCTGTTCCAGATCCACTACTTCTCAGAAAATCTGGTAGTGGCCGGAATCGAACCCGGGACCTCTGACCCCTAGACCACAGAGTCGGTCTCACAACAATAACAATGCAGTTCTGCATATTTAAACGGCTCTGATGTCCATTCATGGCAGATGCAAATCAACCACAGCAAAGCTAGCCACACCTCTGACATCATATTGTAAGGTAAGCATAGAAGCAAACCTGTCCCTGTGCTTTATTAATCAACACACCATGAAGACAAATGGAGGAGTAGAGGTATAGCTCCACCATTCTTGATTTCAGCGCTACAAGAAAGTGAGTGGTCACATTCATGCCCCAGCCACTTTACCCCTAGAGAAAGAGCCCCCTGTACCCAATGGACAGGAGGCTACATGAGCCCCAGATGGTCTGAACACAGTGCAAGAGAAAAGATCTCTCACTCCTCCCAGGGATTTAACCATGGCTGTCCAGTGCATAGCCCATCACCAGATGGATAAATGGCCCTGGGGTGGACTCAGCTTCCAACAGAAATGAGTACCACGAATTAATTAAATAATTTTTCTGGGAAGTAAAGCACAGCTTGCGCGTAAGGCCGACAACCTTACCGCCATCTTTGAGCGAGCCGAGTGTCTAGATAATGTGGGACCCTCAACGTCTCACAACCTTATGGGCCTTCACGGCCTCTTACAGGGATAGCTTTACTTTCATACATTTTCTGTACAATGAGTTGTTTGTGGGAAAACTGATGAACTCCAATTTCAGCTTCAGGAAAAGTGAAGGGTTTACAGATTTACAGAAACCAATATTTAAAAACTGTGACAACTTTTAATGCAGACATCTTCCTGTCTCCCAGCATACTAAATTTCAATAAAATCTGTCAAGAAGTTGCAGGAGTGTGAACAGACACATGTGACTCCACACTATATGTTAATTTGTTTGTATTTCAAGCAAGCAAAAAAAAAAAAAAAAGCTTCAAAAAATAAAACTGTAACATTCAAGTCAATGTACACAGTAACAAAACTGATGACAAAATGGCTTGCCTTCCTTTTTAATACCTCCTTTTCAATTAAGGAATTTTTGTTCATCAGCCACAATAAGTCCTTATAAAGACTTCTCACATCTGGAAAAAAGAAAAAAAATAAAATTTATTTCATACAGATGAGCAAATGAATAAGCATCAAACAGCTAAATATATCTGTAAATGCCAATCATATTTCACAGCCAGATCTAACAAGAATACAGGCCTCAGTCATCGTAACAAGCAGGTCCCCAAGTATCCAGAAGTTGTAAGGGAAAGAAAGAAAGAAAGAAAGAAAGAAAACTTTATCTTCAGGGGCAAAAAGTATGTATTTGGAGGCAGGATAGCACAGTCGGTATAACGACTGTCTACAGGCTGGACAACCAAGAGGTCAGAGTTCAAGTTCCAGTAGTGACCAGAATTTTTTTCTCTTCTCCATATCCAGACCAGCTCTGGGATCCACCCAACCTCCTATAGAAAGGGTACCAGGGGCTCTTTCCAGGGGGTAAAACGGCCAGGGCGTGAAGCTGACCACACACCTCCAACTACTGCCGAGGTCAAGAAAATGTGGACCTATATATCCACTACCCCATACATCTTCATACCATAGTGCTTGATTAGTTAAGCACAGGGACAACTTTACCCTAAGTATTTATTTATTTATGGTATTTATGGTTTACTTCATTATGCTGGCAGCAGCTCTGATAAGGCACAATGTTATTTCAACATTGCCCTTCCCCCCCCCAATCTGCAAATACAAGCAGACTTACAAACATACATACATACACACTGGTTTTTATGATTACAGATTAGCATGCTTAGGAACAACTTCAACTTACTGGAATCACCAAAGAAGACAACATGTTTCTTCTTCAGTAAATTCAGGGCATCTTTCTTCAAAAATATGTCAGACATGGGTGGTTTGTTGTATTTATGATTTACCTGCAAAACAAACAATTACGAGTCTGCCTGGTAATGACAGCCAGAATAGCACAGTTGATAACTGAAAATGTATTTAACGTCCATAACTGTTACACAGGTACAACTGGACAAGTCAACTGAAAACAGCCAAACACTACATGTCAACATCTCTTAAAAAATGTACAAAACAATATGACAATATACAAGACACTGTACAATATAATCCATTTTTGATCAATATCCCTTTGCTAGCTTGCCAACCATGGATGATAACTCAAAGCAATTCAATATAAAGCAATATACTTAAAAAAAAAAAACACAAGTCAAGCCATGTAAAACAAAGCATCACACATTTAGTGAAGATAATAGTCCAATGACCATTTATATATTTCTGTATCATATCTAAAGTAACTCGAATTACCAAACTACCATCCATTATTGTTACTAAAAAAAACTCTTGTAGAGAATAAAAACAGTTTTGTAATAAATAATATTTTAATATATTTTTAAATTTTTTTATTTATTAACGATCTGCCTTTGACGGTTTCTAAAAATAATACATTAGTGCTGTATGCACTAGTACGATTGTAACTGGTTCTAATCCTGTACACTTTTTGACGGAGATAAATACCGCTCTTGATGACTTAAATAAGTGGTTTAGGAGTAATTTGATGTATTTAAATTTTGACAAAACACATCTTTTACAATTTGGGACTAAAAATAGTCAGAAGCTTGATTTAACCATTACTTTTACAGATAAGCATATCACTGATCTTACTAATATCAAGTTTCTAGGATTGATTATTGATAAAAAGTTGTCATGGAGAGGGCACATTGAACATGTTTTAAAAAAGTTAAGTTCCGCTTGTTATGCTATCAGGATTGTCACGCACATTATGACGGAGAATACTCTAAGAATCATATATTTTGCATATGTTCATTCATTATTATCTTATGGTATTTTATTATGGGGTAATTCACCACGTAGTCTTAGTGTTTTTAAGATGCAAAAACGAATACTCCGTATTACGACTAAGACTAGATGTAGAGCCTCTTGTAGACAACTTCTTAAAGATTGGGAAAGTTTACCATTTTATTCTCAATATATATTTTCTTTGATGATATTTGTTGTGAGAAATAAGCATCTTTATAAAACTAATCAAGAAATTCATGGTCTAAATACCAGGCACAATACTGACCTTCATTTTCCATCTGCTAGATTAACAATATATAATGAAGGGACATAAGCTATTGGAATGAGGATATTTAACCATCTTCCTATAAATATAAATTCATTATCATATAAAATTGAATTGTTTAAACCAGCATTAAAGAGATATCTTTGCTCGTGGTCATTTTATTCATTAGAGGAGTTTTTTAATCAAAATAATTTGTAAATACTGATTGGATGTAAATGGGATTAACTGTATGTTATATTTTTTAATTTTAATTATGTTTATTACTTAGTATTATGTGATATTGTTTTACGATTAATGTTTAATGATTGTGACAAATAAACTTGGAGTAGTAAGAAGTAAAAGGTTGTATTTCTAACAGTGTATGAATCTATGTTGTTATGATATGGCTTGATTTAATGTTACACCATGTATCTTTTTATGTTTTGTATGAGATTGTATAAGTTTGACTAGCTCTATATCCTATGGGTGCTAAAGCCCCTGTACAGGATTTGTGGAGTTATTTAATAACAATAAACAATAAAAACCTCAAAATTTTCTATTCTTTTAAGTTTGAAGGGTAAGTTACGTATTTTTATTACCATGTTAATTACATTTTTTTACATTAAGCAGTGTTGCATAATTGGATTTACAAATCCTGTTTCCCTTTTGTTATACTGACAAATATCAAAATATTGAGACACATAGATCTTATTCTGTGGAGTAGAGTCAGTACAGCAAATGGCTACAGGCTGGAAGATCATGGGGTGGGAGTTCGAGTCCTGGTGGGGTCAAGAATTTTCTCTTCTCCACAACGTCCAGACCAGCTCTGGGGTTCACCAAACCTCCTGTCCAATGGGTACTGAGGGCTCTCTCCTGGGTGTAAAGCGGCTGAGGCGTGAAGCTGACCACTCACCTCCAAATATTGCAGAAGCAATAAAAAGTGTGGATCTATACATCCACTCCCCCATACGCCTTCATTGTGGGCACAGACTTTAATTACTTGAGTACAGGGACTTTTACGGTTTCTTTTTTGGCTGCCGGGTAATACATGTATGTGACAGTCCAAAAATTTATCATGCATATCACGAAAAGTGTATTTTAATACTGCGTGTTGCAAAAATGTAATTAAGAGCATGAAATATAAAATTACGGATCCTTACAGAGGGAAATAAAAGTAAAATTCTGGTGATATGCATGAAATTTCTGCGAAACATACGGGGAGGGAGGGGGAAGAGAAGAAAAAATTACTCCCATATTGTCTAATAGAAACTTTCGTCGCAACACCGGTAATACCAATCTGAATGCTGGAGACTTGGAGACAGCTGAAACTGAAGTTAAACCTTCAGCATAACAAACTAAATTGTTAAGACTTCTTCCATTCACATGTGTGTCACCTATCATATACATAAACACGTAATACTAAATTATACATATATATTGATTATCTTAAGGACTAAACTGTAAATGTCGTATATCAAAACGGCCAGAACTTTAACATTTAAACTTCGAATTCAAGTCTATCAGCGACGATCAGCGATAACAGAGATAACCAACCACATTCCTCCTGCAAGCACTTCCGCTCGTGGTCCGGGTGCGTTCATGTATGTGCTAACATAATGCGGTAAAGACGTACGATCTGAATATTTCATGGAGGCTAAAGCTAGTATTTTTAACTAACTTATGTGGCTGAGATACCGGGATTTCAATAATGGATTGCTGTTTCTAAAGACATATGCTACTACGAGACTCTCCGCCGTCTTTAGAGCTAAGATTTCCTTTGGATTTTGACCAATGTTTTGTTATCTCTGTATGTAAGTTGGTTCTCTGGAAGTTGAGATAATTAGAAATGGTGATTTTCGAAAGATATTCTCACATCAGTATGTGTTACTGTCACAGACGCAAAAAGGGTTGCCTTTGCGGGATGTCATTATATGAAGAGACAACCACTTGTTGAACTGTTCCATAATATTTATTACAGTTACAGTTCTAGATTTCTACAGTTCTACAAGTGTACTTCAGTGTTCAAAGAGTTCGCTTGAATGTGGGCAGTTCCCACACTTGCTTATACCCGCTTAATCCAGTGGCTGCCTTCGTGGTTTCAAGAACGGTTACTACAGTACGTCTCCAGCAGTGAACTTACAGTACTTCATAGTCACCGCCGTGAAAGCCTCAAATCTTACAGTACTTACTGTTCTACGTATAATTTAAATTAAGATATATATATTAAGAATCGCAGAGAGACCGTTGTAATAGAATAAGATGTTTATAAGACTGTGCTACACTGGGCCGAATGGGCATTGCCTAAACCTTTATTGCGTATATACAATTATTTTTCACAATAAAAAATGTTTGACATATAGGGGCGAGGGCACACAAAGACAACTGGCAACCGCAACGCAACTGCAATTTCCGAGAATTTGCGTTGCCGTTTCCTCACTTTGGGCTACTCCGTTCAATAACATGTGTTCAACTCAGGCTGAGAACACTTCTCGGAAATTACGGTTGCGTTGCGGTTGCCGGTTTCCTTGATGTGCCTTCGCCCTAAGGGTTTCTGTTGCAGTAAAACCGACAATGAAGTTATAAGGCACTTATATTCAAATCGAGAGCACCTCTACTTTCACGGGTTAGGCTCTCTGGACTGTTCCCATTCAGCATTAATTCTGAAATTAAAAATCTTATAGACAATTGGTGGCACTCCTTGGATGATTAATCAGCCTGTTGCAAAGCCGCTACCTATATGGGACAATACAAGCAGAAAAGAAAAGCAGACATCCATGCCTGGAGGAGGATTCCAACCCATGAGCTCAATGTTTAAGTGGGCAAAGCCATTTTGTGGCTAATACCGCTCAGCCACTGTGATCAGTCAAGAGCACTTAAATACAAAATGCAATCATATAACTTGGAAAAAACGTTGTGTATACCTGAAATAATGTAGTTATGGTGGGATGGCTTCATCCTAAGGATCAAAATAGGGTCAGTGGATGTTTGTATTATGCAATCTTGGGGTGTAACAGATTCGTGGATGAAACTAATATCTGGTCGAGGCCAGTAAGGATACTGAACAGGAAATCATGACCATGCCCCAAAAGGACCCAAATGGCATAGTGTTCCCAAATCAGTAGAAAATTATTAACATTTCAAAGGAGTCTGTTGCCTCCACCTTTGCAGTAACATAGTCCTCTAGCCATAAGATGGAGGAAGCAGGTTCGTTTGAAATGTTAACTCTCTACCAGTCAACACAATGTCACAAGTCATAAAAGACAGTAATCTTCAATATAAAAAAAAATTAAAGCAAAATATACTTCTCATCAGCACTGTGGTGACCAGGAGGTTACACTTGTCTAAGCAAACAATGTTTCACAATATGATTTATTGTATTTCGTTTAATACTCCTGTCACTAGCTCATGCAATATAACATCAAATGACTGGATGACAGAGAAGAATTAGAAATAAGTAGACATGACCTACTTCAAGGTACTATCCTCAGCATTTGCATAGATGGACTTAGGTAAACCACAAAAATATTCAATCAGGATATTCAGTGTTCCCGTTGAGATTCGAACTGGGCAACCTGCAAATACATGTCTGAGCCATTGCTGCTTGAGTCAGCTTGCTCAGTAACATTATAATATTCTCTCAGGGTGAGGGCACACTGAAGAAACTGGCAACCACAATTTCCAATAGTTATCAGCCTGAGTTGCACATGTTACTGAAACGAGCAGTGCATGCTGAGGAAACGGCAACATAGTTTCCTAAATTTGCGCTGCTCGATTCAGTAACATGTGTTCAACTCAGGTTGATAACAATTCTCGAAAAATTGCGGTTGCCAGTTTCCTCGGTGTGCCCCCACCCTTAAACTCCACCAGACATGAAGGCTTCTAACTACTGAGGTGTTCTTCTGAAAACTGGTGAAATTCTACCCAACTGTACAGTGTCACATTCCAGAAGATAGTATTGTTTCTAGTCACTGCTGTATGAACCTCAAATCCAACAATATACTAGACAAGATGTGCAAGATGAACATTGAACAATTAAACAGAATCTACCAGATAATACTAAATATTATGTTGGCATTAAAATGCTTTAGTATGTATTGTTGTAAAGTGGCCAGCTGTTGAAGGAAAGAAGTAAGCAAGACACAAAGTATGAATATGTGACGACATCTAAGGGATTGCATATATCATGAAAACATATCTATACTTCTTTTTATTTATTATTAAAATTACATCTATTCTAAATCTACAGTGAAGGGCTTATTACACATTTACACAACACATGCACAATATGAATCTGTACACACTAAGTCCGGTTTGATCTTTGTGCAACCATGTCTTATGTTGAAGATTCATTATATCACAGTTATTATTACAGACTTCTGTCTCTTCTACAAATTTCTTTCAGTCATTTTAAATACCTGGAATAAAAAAGAACATTAAATCAATAAAGACAGTATTTATTTAACAAATAAAGTATGAAATGGGCAGCACATGCATGAGAAGATCAAAATTCTGGTTGGAAGCCTGAAGGAAAAATATCATTTTGCGCATCTAGACACATTTTGAAGGACATTTAGATGGATCTTCAAACAGACAGGGTGTAAACAACTGCATTCATCTGGCTTAGGACAAAGGCCAAAGGCAAACTCTTGTGAACACAGTAATAAACCTTTATTTTCCATAAAAGGCAGACAATTTCTTTACTAACTAAATGGTTATTAGCTTCCAAAAAGAACCTTGTTCCAAGGTGTTAGTTACACCGTTATGTCTAGATCAGTGAAAGAAATCTTTCTTATCTACTCTAAACTTATTTGTAATTTTCCAGCAATAAAACTCATACATTATATGAAAACATAAAAGTGTAAAAAGAGGCAAAGTTGTCCCTGTTTAATTAGACATAATGACATAAAGACATATGTGGAAGCACAGGTATGGATTCACATATTCTTAAACTTGGCACTACATGGAGGTGAGTGGTCAGTTAGCTTTATGGCCCAACTGCTTTATCCTTCCTGTATCAAACAGGTGGTCCCAGGGCTGATCTGGATGCCATGAACAGGAAAATCTGACACTCCTGGGAATCAAAGTCTGGTTCCCCAATCATCCATCCCATAGCCAAGTTGCGATGAAAGTCTTTTTAAAATTCGATCTCAGCTTCACTGGGTCCGACAAGAAATGTACTCTCCTTTGATTTTACAGCAATGAAAGGGTGATTATATTGTACAATGTGAGTCAATAAACTTACTTGGCAGCCCAGTCAGTTCTCCCATGTACACCGCCACTGTGCTTTGAAGGAATGGCTGAGTCTGCAAACAGTTTCCTTGACTGAAGAGACATAGATACATGGGGACTTTTAATTTCTGGACCTGAAACATCAAGCAACATCAACATCAACATGGATGGTAAGCAGGGCTCTGTAATGAGAAGCCAGCATGTAATTACCTGGTACAGCCTCATTCACTACATATTCTTCTATGCACATACAAGTAAACCTCACTCACCTAAGTTGACAGCCCCATATGAAACGGCATTTACATTTGAATTGCGGAATGGTAACTTGGTGCTCTGTCCTGCTATGTACCGTGAACGAGTTAGGTAGCGTTGCTTCGCTGTCATAGAACCCCCTGTGTCAAGGCCACCACCATAGTTACCTTGCTGGCTCCACATGGAAGGTGAGTAGTCTCGCGATGGCAGGATATGTTCATTGGCAGAAGGATGTACAGGTCCATCCTCCTTGCTTCTGATACAAACAAGAGAGGAAAGATTCACACTGGAAATCAGATTTACAAAAACGCAGACTATGTTCTACTCAGGAATCAAATTAAAATGTATCCACATAAATTCATTCACTGAGTGCTATGAGCCATTCTTTTAAACTTTCTTGATTATCCAAGTTTATAAGACCATTATATTTTAGAAACTGGTTCTATTTTTTATCTTCAGGTGAATAGAATACAAAAGAAAACCTACTATATGGGGCCCCCCAGGTATAGCCATTCTCAAGTCATGATCATCATGGTTATATAGGATTAATGACAAAATCATTGGTCAACAATGAATTGGAAAGGATGTGGCCATCATCTAATTCAAGGTACAATCCTACCATTATCCCAGAGGGACTGAAGAAAGCCATTGGAAGCCTCAGACAGGACAGATAGACTGTGGGCCCAAAATTTCAAACTAGGGCTCCCAGAATATGGTAAAGGAGTGCTACACATCTGCTCACAATGTCCACTAATACCACAATGGCACTGAATCACTTACCCATTATTAATATTTGTACTTTGACCGGCCACATACCGGGCCACTGTAAGGTAATGCTGCTTGGCACTCAGCTTTCTTCTTGTTTGCTGCTGCTGAGATATACGTGATTGGGCTGATGGCTGACGCTGGTACAAACCGTGCCATGCAGACCGATTCTCCTTGAGTGTCCGATCCTTTACGCTTTTTGTCACTGGCTCTGGAGGAAGTATTTTTCCCCTGTAATGGTTATTTACAAACCTTAATTATAAAGAAACACTAGAACTTACTGCTAGTGTAAGGCATCAATCATAGTGTCACTAGAGTATTTCCTCTAGACACTGTTCATTGTCTCAGTGGTGTTCTGAAGGCTGTCTCTCTCTCTCTCTACAAAGAGATAAGAACATGGGCACGCTAGATACAGGTAATCTTTGCTACTATACAAAGGAACAGATGAGGTGCTGTATATACTCACATGTACAAGAATAAATAAATTCAAAACTAACTCAGTCTCCACTGAAATATGTGCAAAGGAAAACTACAGTGCCAACAGTTAGTCTGGACACTATGGAAAAGAGATAACTCTCTTGTCCCTGCTGGGAACTGAACCCTAACCTCCTCAGTTGTTGAACCTACTCACTCTTTTGACTGTAATATCCCAGCTCTAGTATAAGAACAGATAAATAATAAATCTTTAAAAAACTGGTGCAAAACTTTGCACATTCTTTCTTATATTCACGTGACCCTGTTTATGTTAGTTTGGTAATGAAATCGACTGTTCTTCAGTAGACCAGTGCTGGTCACCGATGACACATGCCAGGACATGTACATGTTACGTCAATGTTTGGGCCCCTAAGCGTACATCATTATTTTCTGGAAGAGACCACATATATAGTTCTATTTGAGCAATGGTCTCCCTTAAGAACAGAATTTTGATCAAAATTATTACAGCCATTTAAAAAAAACTGTCATCTTATTTCTGACAGGCCCATTTGAAAGGTCTCTATTTTTGGAACCAGAATGTTCATATTCACCAGACATTGGCCCATAAAGGGAAAACTCCTTTTAAGACATCAAACACATTAGATGTGGGAATGCTGACTCATACAATTCAGTAACTTCTGATCTTCTATCTAAAAACCTAAAGCAAAAGTTCTTACCCAAGAATGTCAGCAAACTCCTCATCATTAACATCATCCCATTTGCTGTTTGGCTGAACATCCTTCTTGTGACTATGGCTTAGCAGTGACTGCTGCTGACGAATGATACTTTGAGGCTGCGATATGATTCCGTTACCTTTGTTACGACCTGACGGAACATTTTCAGACTGCTTGAAATTGTACGTGTGACTGGGGTTATGATTCTGTCCGATACTCTGAGACAATATGGCACTGCCTTTATTTGTCCTTCCTGCGGTGCCGTCTTGTTGAGAGAAAGTGTAAACTAGGGCAGAAGGCTGATGTTGGTGGCCAAAACTCTGAGAAAACGTGGCACTGTTCTTGGCTCTACCCAAAGAGTCTTGCTGCTGAATCAAATTTCCAAGTTTCTGACCCACTTGAAAATATGGATACCTGAAGAGCAACAACAAACACAAACTGCATACAAATCAGACAAGTAGAATGTGGTTTCATGAAACAGTAAATATAATATCTCTTCTTGATTAAGCATCATGTTGCAAAACATATGGGGCAGTGGAGGTACGGCTCCATGCTGTTAACCTTAGCACTAGGTGGATGGCAGTGTTCAGCACCACGCACCAGCTGCTTTATCCCTGACAAATGAACCCCCATATCCACTGGATAGGGGGCTGGATGAGCCCCAGAGCAGTCTGAACACTATGGAGAAGAGAAATATCTGTCCCGGTCAGGAATTGAATCACATCACCCTGGTTTTCCACCCCAAGAGGAGAGACCAAAAAAGAGACATATTAAATAATGAACAGGGCCCGGATTTTGAAGACATGTCATCTTTTTTCCCTTGTATCCTATGCGATACTCTTTTGGCCATTTTAGGGAATTTTTCTTCATATGAATAACATGGAAGAGAAGTGTTCTTTCTTTTCTCCTTTAGGTCATTTTTCCGGATCTTTTCGGTCATTTTATAGGTCTTTTTTTTTAATATTTTCAGGTCATCAAAATCCTGGCCCTGCATATTACATTTTTGGGTCATATTTTAGGTCATTTTTCTGGATTTGTTTGGTCATTTTATAGGTCATGTTTTAAATATTTTCAGGTCATCAAAATCCGAGCCCTGATAATGAATAATAAGACAGTTCACCTGGGTTCTGTAACATATCTGGAAGAGAGGAAAGAGTGTAGGAAGAAACGTGAGACTGGAGAAAGATGAAGATGGTATGAAGCAGAAATGGTAATATATAAATATGAAACTAAATCAAATGAGAATGTCCTACTATACCACACACAAGAACTTCAATTCTCTGAAAAATGTTTCTTACCTAAGTGACTGATGAGCCGTAGGTCTCTTGCTTGGATTCCAACGCAACATGTTCTCCATCAACATAATGGCATCCTTACTGGCATTAGGGATGATAGAGCTAAGTGGGGTAGGGGAGAACTGAGGGAACTTAAAATTCATCGCACTTGCAAGCTGATGACCCTCTGGCCAGTCTCTCTGAAACAAAGATCCCATACGTCAAATATTCTTGCATCTGTTGACACAACAATTTCTTATAAAAATATATAAAATATAAATTATTTATATTAAAATCTTAAAAACGTGACAAGTTTCGAGCCTTGCTGGGTCATCATCAGGTTTACTGTTTGTGCTTAGGTGCTGAACTTGTTTTTAATATGGATCCATAACATGTCACGTTTTTAAGATTTGACTGTAAATAATATATATTTTTATATTTTTATACGAAACCGTTTCATCGACAGATGTAAAAATAATCAATGTGTATGACACACAACAGAATGCAACACATAAGACAGATCCTGGCTGCGCCATAGCTCAACCGGGTATTCGCTGGCTTCCCACCATGGCGGTCTAGGTTCGATCCCGGGTCTGGTCAAATGGGATCTGTGGTGGACAAAGTGGCACTGGGGTGGGTTTTCTCTGAGTACTCTGGTTTCCCCTGCCAATCTTCATTCCACCACGTTCTCCATCATCATAATCACCTGGGGCAGGTACAATAGGCCAATCGGTGGCCGCCGTGCTGAGTGGATCCAGCTGGACTCCACCCCCCACTAAGGTAATTAAAAAAAAATTAAGACATATCCCACAATGTGTGTATCATTAAATTTTCTCATTTTTTAATGTCTCATTCTCTCTGCCCCTCCTGGCTTTACTTTCTGCACCTTTTATAACTCTCACCTGGAGCCAATGTTCATCTAATAAAATCTCCCTTTGTCCATACACATATATTTCTGTTTCTTACATTAAAATGGTAATACAAAATTTATAAATAAGGACATTTATCCTGTCTTATGCATTTCCATTTCCAAAGTATACCCCTAACTGGTGAAACTTGCCTTCATTTTTTATTTTTTTTTTCTGCACTCTGCTCTCGCTGTTTTATGCCCCACATGTTTAGAAGTCTCCATTTTCCTTACTTCACAGTTATCACAGTCTGTCTTTCTTATATCTCCTGCCTGCTCACTTCAACAGCTGAGCAACCATCTCCACAGAGGGGTTGATGTGGGAACCATTCACAGTGAATCGAGAGCTAGCCAATCACAGGCTGGGAGCCAGCCAATGCTAAGCAATGGCTGAGTAAACAGCGGTTATTTGGCTAGCACTCAATTCATTGCAACTAGGTTTTACCTAACAATGGCTGTTTGCCCAGCCATTGCTTAGCATTGGATGGTTTCTAGCCTGTCGTTGGCTACCTCTCGATTCACCATGGGTGGTTCCCGCAGGTTATATTCACAACCACACATCATCAATTACAGAAACGAAATTGTAATCCATTTCATCACATTATACTGTTCAGGAATTAGAGTAATGTGCATTTTAATGTATTGTATTGACATTGGGGGCAGCATCTTCTAATGCAGACCCCTATTGGGTCCACTGTGCGCCCCCCCCCCCCAGCAACAATATGTAANAGGGGAGTAAAGCGCGGCCGGCGCGTAAGGCTGACAACCTTACCGCCATCTTTGAGCCGATTGTCTAGATAATGTGGGACCCTCAATATCTCACAACCCTATGGGCCTTCACAGCCTGTTACAGGAATAGCTTTACTTTTACTTTTTACTTTTTTTAATAAAGAAACAGAAACCTTGTCCGGTGTACCAAGAACTGAGCATATTTTAAATATTTCATCTATTTCGCTGTTTCCAGGGAAGAGGGGACGAAAAGTGTACAGCTCAGCCAGAATACAACCAACAGCCCACATATCAATTGGACTGCTGTACATCGTTGAGTGAAGCAAGACCTCAGGGGCACGATACCTATGAACAAAACATTACATTCAGTTATGTTGACAAGTTATGTAAAACAAAGTGAAGAATGTTCAGATTGTGGTATACTGGAATGTGACATCGTGTAGTCTTGTAGGCAGTTACTAATATTTCAGTGTAATTAAACAGGTGATCTGGCAGTAATGTTGTAGACTTTATTTCGCAGGCGCTCGATTCAAATTTCTGGCAAGACAATGGCGTTCGTCGCTGAGATTTCTGTGGTTTTGCTCAGTTCCTCCAGGAAAATGTCACAACAGTACCTTAATCAGATCACGATCACTTCCTTCCAAATCTTTTCAATCCATTACTTCATTTGTTATCTACCACTTCAAACTAAACAGTCTCTGAAATTGAAACCACTGTAAAAACACCCTCAAAAGTGGAACATACTGCCTCCATCTTCATGGTCAAAGTGAGAGGGGTGAGAATGCAATCAAGTTGTAAAGGCAGGTTCAAAGAAATGTGGTCACTAAGATCTATGGGTGCAGGACATAAATTGGAGCCTGGTAACAGGCAAGGACATGAGAATGTCGAATGTCACTCAGTATAAAATGTCACACGTCCATAAATGCCAACACATTTCAGTGCCAGTGACAAGAACACTTTTTGAGCACACAGAATTTTACATGCACACTAAAAACTCAAGAGTGAAATAAGCATGCAGACAGTTATGTAAAAACTGGACCAATATGCACTCACCATCGTGTGGACACATAGTCGGTATATGGCGGCCGAGACCTGATCTCCCTTGCAAGTCCAAAGTCTGCAATTTTAATAAGCTCTGGCCCCATACACAGCAAATTCTCTGGTTTCATATCGCGGTGAAAGAAGCCATGACGATGCATGAAAGCCAAACCCTGAAGGACCTGATATGTCATGTTGCGAATCACAGGTTCAGGGAAGTGTTTATCTCTGTAAGAATAATGTCCAATAGATTAAAATATTAAAGAGTCTCAAATACGAGGATCATCTATTCAGTTGAAAGAAAGCAAATACTTCTCAAACTCTCAAATTTTTAGCTTTTATAAGAAACAAGATTAAGGTGAAGGCAGTGATGGAAACGGCCTCTCAGAACGAGACAGATGTTCCAGATCAACATAAAAACCCCAGGGGAATCACCACCACAAATGAAAAGGAACCTACTAGGATGAAGGGTCATGATTCTTTTCCTCCATGTATTGTTGCTGGGAGCAATAGTCATGTCTTAAAAAAAAAAAGGTAAAGTTGTCCCTGTGCTTAACTAATTAAGCATGACAACATGAAGGCATAGGGGGGAGTGGCTGTATAGATTCACATTTTCTTGACCTCAGCACTAGCTGGAGGTCAGTGGACAGCTTCATGCCCCGGCTGCTTTACTCCCAGGGAAAGAGCCCCCGGTACCCATTGGATAGGAGGTTGGGTAGACCCCAGAGCCAGTCTGGATGATACGCAGAAGTGAAAATTCTGGACCCCTCGGTCATCCACCCAGTAGCCAGTCGGTATACTGACTGCGTTATCCCGTCTTGATGCACTGGAAACACCTTCCTCAAAATGAAGTGCTTTGAACTAAGTAGATGGCATCTACCTACATCTACCACAAATTTCCAGCTGTGGAGGAATGTGATGTGAATTTAAAGACTGACCCATTGATACCAAAGTAATGGGAAACCACGGACCATTACTATTCTTATAAAGAAAACCTGTCACTACCTCAGCTACTTCTGAAAATGCTGACTAGCATTGCACATTTGAATAGAGTGGAAAAGGGTAAGGGTATAAGTACGTGTAAAAAGTATTGGGCCCCCTTGGCTAGGCATGTGCAATAATGACCTTTTCAAGTCAAAACTAAACAGAGACAAGAATCAGGAAACATTTTGAGAATCAAGACTGGAACAAGAATTTTCTCTAGTAGACCAAGTGTTTCACAGTATTCACAATTTATACCACTGGCCATTTTTTCACAATGCACTGAAGTGTACTGCTTATCCTCGTTGACAGCAAACACTTCTTCAATTAAAAATTTCCATTGAACCACTGTATTAAAAAAGTATTCAATTCTACAACTAAGTCCTTTTTCATGAGGGGCAGATAGAGGGGAGGGAAGGAGACTTTTCTGATGAGCTGATTTGTGGTAGAGTTGCCAATCGTTATGATTCTGTTGGAACATGTAGTTCAAATGCTAATATTTACAGTAAAAGTACGTATCTTAAATTTTAACAAATCTGAGACTGAGAAATAAAAATTCATATTAAAATGTTTATTCTCTTGAAAGGTGAAGAGTGGGTATGCATAAGCCTTAAATTCATCTAAATGATATTTTAAAATTCAGTTTTTATGTAACAGAAAATACACTGTAACTCCATTACAAGCATCAACTGGTTAATATTGCATAGGGAAAAAAACAACTCTTTATTCTGGGAATCATAACATATGTAAGTACCTTTTGTAGATAAATTTCCAAGTTCTATTTTATGTTAAAGCACATGGTACATATAGCTACCACTGTGCTTTAAAGGACCATTAAAAATCCATGAATTGTGCCTGAAATATCTTTAAGGGTGAATCAACATTAGACAGTTGTGTTAGTCATTTTATCATCATTAGAATGTTTCTAGGTTCGTATATTGTGACAGAACATCTAAAATGCATGAACTCTGTAGTGTTGGAACTGCAGAAATATCAAAGATTCGTCCATTTAATAGGTGACAGAGACACAAATCCCCCTAGCCATAAGAGTCAGGTACTCAAGAGAACAGTGTCACCTAGGCAGTCCACAGTGAGACTCTATAAAGAAACATGCCAGGCATGTCACAATTCTAGATCTGGATCTAGCCTATGCCTAGTTAGCCTGCTAACTCAGTGCAACAAGGGACTAAGACAAAGACAACTGAAGAAGACTTTCAAAAATGATGATGATGATGGTGAAGGCGGAATACAATAGAAAGAAACCGAGGGAAGTAAAGTGGCTGGCTGTAGACCTGTCAGTGCTTCTACAGTCACAAGTAAGAGGAACCAGTGTCATTACAGCAATTGGCTATGGGCTAGACGACCGAAGGGTCGAGTCCAAGCCCCACTGGGGGTAAGAATTTTATCTTCTCCACATTGTCCAGACCAGTTTTGGGGCCCACCCAGCCTCCTATCTGATGGGTATCAGGGGCTCTTTCCCTGGGGGTGAAGCTGACCACTTACCTCCAACTAGTACTGAGGTCAAAAAAGCTTGGAACTATATATCCACTCCCCCATACGCCTTCATGTTGTAGTGCTTAATTAGTTAAACACAGAGACCACTTTACCTTGTACCTTACCCCATGGTACAGTCATTTTCACATGACATGACGAGAAACAAATTTCTGTACACAGAACTTTCTTTTGGAAGGTTGCCACCTAAGGTATGATGTGCCCACACTATACCTGTCTTTCATCAGCTGATACAGGTTCTCCTTCATGTACTCAAACACAAAGTACAACGTGTCATTCTCTCTAATGACCTCCTTCAACTTCACAACATTTGCATGGCTTAATTTCTTCAGTGACTGGAATGTACACAACAGAACAAACAGTTAAATCAGGTATCAATAATATATGATTTGTTTAATCCGTCTTGCAGTGCATACATTCATTTATCTCCTTCTTTCCCTCGCACTACATGTTTCGGCATAATAATGCCATCTTCAGGTGCTTACTTGTCCACGTCAAACCAGTTCATTGCATGCCATGTTCACACATTAAAATAACTAAAATATGTATCTATCATATACATTGTCAAACGTTAAAAGTATTAAAATTGTTCAGGATACCACATCACTACGTCGCCCCTCACTACGTCAGTCACGCCCATTCTCCTTTGTTGGAGCANAATTTTAATACTTTTAATGTTTGACAATGTATATGATAGATACATATTTTAGTTATTTTAATGTGTGAACATGGCATGCAATGAACTGGTTTGACGTGGACAAGTAAGCACCTGAAGATGGCATTATTATGCCGAAACATGTAGTGCGAGGGAAAGAAGGAGATAAATGAATGTATGCACTGCAAGACGGATTAAACAAATCATGGACTTAAATCAGTGCAACAGGACGCTAAAATATAACATTATCAATAATATATAAGCACAGGACAATGAAGTATGCTCCACAACAAATACAAACGTTGCTGAATCCAAATTAAATTTGAAACAAGACTCTTACCTTCACTTCTCGTAGGTTCATTGCTTCATCCCAAGAATAATACTTCCGTTTCATCCTGAAAATAATACAAATTATATTAATATTAAAGCAACACGCAAAATGGTACAGCATGGTAGAAACTTAACAAATTTAGATGAAAGCAATGTGTCCCTTATTTCCAGGAAAGGCTGCGCCATAGCTCAAGTGGTTAGTGACTGGCTTCTCACTGCGGCGGCCCGGGTTAGATCCTGGGTCTGGTCAAGTGGAATTAGTGGTGGACAAAGTGACGCTGGGGCAGGTTTTCTCAGAGTACTTCAGTTTTCCCCCGCCAATCTTCATTCCACCAATTGCTCCACAATCACCCTCACCTATCATCTGTGGCTGGTACAATAGGCCAGAAGTGGCCGCACTACAAGGGACTTAGTCCCACCCCACTAGCAATAAAAAAAATATTTCCAGGAAAGAAAGACTTGGCACAACAGAAACAGGAGGCCCTAAAAGGGTAAGTACTCAAGGGCAGGAGAAAGGAAGAGGTACCCAGTGTGCTGTGTATATGAACTGCACACAGCCTTGCAACATGCAGCACGCCTATGAGAACAACATCCTGATTTCCGCTGTATGAATGCTCCTTTAGCATATGTGTCCCCTGTTCCTCCCCCTGGCAGTGGCTCGCTCTGATTCACAGCAACACTGCTGACAGAGCTCTGAAGGAAGAGAGGTTGTTTCCAAATTACTGTTTGGTTGGGCTTCTAAAAGAGTTCTGGTTTCTCTATTTTCTCCTTCTAGTGGGCGGTTGATGTGCACTGCATCTGGTGAGTGCCTTTAACATTGGGGCACCATGTAGACTTACTGCAGGCCTGTGTTGTTACATTAACTTTATACAGGAAACTCCTTTGATTAATACCTGGTCTTACATTTTGTAAATGATTGCTAAATATAACAAAATGCATACGCACAACATACATAAAATGCACTGCTGCAAAGCTAAGCATATTACATACTGCACTGAACTGTAAGAAATTATTTCTTTTTCCATTCTGTTATATAATCAAGTAGGCAACTATCACCTTCTCAAGAATACTGTTCTGTTAGATTAATTAAACCAGTTTATGTTAAATTACACATACCTTTTAATAGCAACTTTCTCGCCAGTATCAACTCTCTGGCCCAGGACAACAGAACCATATGTGCCATCTCCTAGCTGGTTGAATGTGATGTACCGATTCATCTTCATCGGGTCCCGAGTCATTCATAAGTGTAGGTCACACTGAAGCACCACTGTGCTGGCACTACTGACATCTGAAATATGACATGTCCTATTAAATAATCATTACAATAGTCCCTTGCCAAATGATGGGTTACAGTCTTACAGACTATCATTCTCATCAAAACCGTGTTCAGTAAACTTAAGGGGGGGGGAAATGATTACCTCACTCCATAACCAGCTAAGCAGCAGGTCACAGAGACCCAAACCTAAAGACTAAGGATGTGTAATGTGCTGCCTCATCAGGGCTATCTCACACCTCAAGAGAGAACCACCTCATCCATCATAAATCTCACATGAACTCAACAACAGAACCCAGGTCTCTGCAATGAGAAGCCATGGTCTGTCTGACCAATAGCATGAACCTCAGTAAAGTTCACAGCTTACAAAAATCAAAAACTTCTGTGAAGTTTGCTCATGCATTCACTTCCGTCTCCAGTGCAACTCACACTAAAAGTTTCAAAATTAAAAATTTTAATTTTTAAAACTCTTAAATGCACATACGTCTTTGTCATATTTCATACAACATGTGTTGATCTAATCTGGCCATCATCAGGTGTGTTAATTTGTCTGGCAAAATTTCTGCACTGTTATAAATTTTCATTAACTCTTTTCATAATTTTATTATTTAATCTTAAATTCTGAAGTATAATTTCCTTTCTTTCCACAGCATGTACTGGTGACTGGTATATTTCCTTTTGTTGTGTCTTGTGGAGATGTTGTGGGGAGATTATAATAGCATTAACCTTCCTTCAAATGCCAGAATCTATAATTTGTCACAGATAATGCCAATCATTCCTCCATACCTGTAATTCTTAACATGTAAACAATATATCAAGCACAATTTATATATATTTTTATGATCTCCATAAAAGAAATAAGAAATCCCTGGCTCCAAAGGTTCATTACTTTACCACCAATGAACTGAAAACTAAATGCAGGATTTGTGTGAACACCATTTTGTTGTGGGATTTGATGTAACTTTGTGTAGCCTGGTATGACAACAAATCGAAAAGTCTTTTCCCCTATCTTTTTTCAGCCACAATAATATACATACAGGGAAATCAAAATACAGGCAGTGTTCTAAGTACCTTTGACTATTTTTCCATATAGTCACCACCCTGGTTCAGGCATTTGTCCCATCGCACCACTAGTTTGGAGATGCCGCTGTTGTAGAATTCAACCGGTTGAGCGCGGAACCACCGCCGGAAAGCGGTTTTCATGTCGTCAGAAATAAACCTCTGGCCTGCCAGGAAATTATTCAGTGGACCAAACACGTCGTAATCACTGGGGGCGAGGTCTGGACTATACATTGCATGCTCCATAATCTCCCATCCAAATGACTGCAGTCGGGCAGCGGTCCTGTTTGCCACATGAGGCCTGGCGTTGTCATGGAGGAGAACCACACTGTCCACGAGAATCCCCGGGTGCTTCTTTCTGATGGCAGCTCGCAGACATGCAAGTGTGCCACAATAGCTGCCCGTATTGATGGTGGCACCTCGTGGCATGAAATCCAGCAGGAGTGGTCCTCGGCGATCCCAGAAGACAGTGACCCTCAACTTCCTGACGGATGGCGTTCTGCGGAATTTCTTTGTGACAGGCGAACTGGGATGTTTCCACACCATGCTCTGCTGCTTGAATTCTTGGAGTGAAATGCAATACCCATGTTTCATCTCCGGTTACAATGAGATCCAGGAAGATCCACTGAAGAAGTTCCTGGTAGGCCAGAGGTTCATTTCTGATGACAATGCAAAAACCGCTGTCCGGAAGTGGTTCCACACTGCACCGGCCGAATTCTACAACAGCAGCATTTCCAAACTAGTGGTGCGATGGGAAAAATGTCTGAACCGGGGTGGTGGTGGTAGTGGTTGTGGTGGAAAAATATTCAAAGGTACTTAGAACACTGCCTGTATTTTGATTTCCTTGTATGTGTATTATTGTGGCCGAAAAAAATAGGGGCAAAGACTTTTTGATTTGCCCTTGTAGATCATTACCAGCATTTCAAAGGAACATGAAGTCTCCATCTTCAGGATATAAAAAATGTAGCAGTTGTAAATACAGTGTTAAATAGTTATTCTCCTAAGTTATGGAATAAATTTTATATTAAGAATAAACCCTGAACATAGAGGCAGTACATTCCTCTGAAACAATGGTAATGATCTACCAGGTTATGTGGCATCAAACATTCCACAAGACATTGATCTTTTAGTCATTACCATGGGAACCTCAAATCTCACCCCAATAATTTAATGTTCCAACTGAAGACATAGAAACTAGTCAATTACTATCTACTATAGTATGACACTCACAGCCAAATAAAAAGACATGAAAAAATTTAAGAGTTATAAAAATAAAACAAATATAATATGATCCTAAAGAAGTAATTTTATTCTTCCAGAACTGTACACACTTTAATATATCAGAATAACTTTCTCCTAACTAGGTTAATTCTTTTGAATCCTAAAAATGAAAATTTCTCCCATCATGGGGAGGGGAAGAATTGTGAAGAGAAAGTTGCTTTATTGAATTGAACTGAATTTATTTGCATTCCATAGATCCGAAGTAGGTTAACACCTCTGGATATAGAACAAGTCAAAATAATACCTACTGGTACAAGCAATTTTATCGTAAATTAATATAGCTTAATTCTACATTATTCTCTATTTACATTGAGGTATTCATCTACAGAGTAGAAGGAATGAGCATGCAGATATTTCTTTAACTATGATTTAAAATTTTTAGTATCATTACTCAAGTTTTTGATACTTTTGATACTTGATACTGCACTGCAATATTTCTGAACGCACAAAGGGTATAAAGAACTCTACATCCCTTTGAGAACAAAGTATTTATGTTCATCATTGTTCAAAGAATGAATCTATCCACTACAAATCTGACATATATACAAAAAGAAATATTTTGAATAAATCAACATCTTTTCAGATTTTATACAAATATCTTTAAAAATATACTTACGATAAATTATTTAAATTAGTTCTTAAATTCTGTATATATATTTGTTTTATATGTTAATGCTAGTTTCAATACATTCTTGAATACTTTCTTAGTTATNAACATAACATAACATGTTATGTTATGTTATGTTATGTTCATTTGTACCCTAAAATATACCTTCAATTCATTATCATTATTAGTAACAATTATTAACAATTAGTAACAATATTTGTAAATGTCAAAAGTCATCTAACAATAACTGTACTGTCATATAATACAAAAGTTATGTCTTATTTCACACTAATATTTTTAGTTGGTTCAGTATAGTTCAGGTAACAATGATTTCATGTTCTTCATATAACATCTTATTAAAACCAAATTCTTAAACTAAACCCACAATTACTGACAGACATGGCTAAAAATATAACAAAACACACTCTCATTAACTTACCATCAGTTTGCATTTACTAATCACTCTTATTATACACACTCATCACCAATATGACGTGTTTTTAATGTGGGCTACATTTATATTTCAACCATGCCACATGATAAACCTCAAAGGTATAACTACTAGGTGGATGTGTCAGTGTGCGCAATACCAGTATTTCCTCAACATTCTTACCACTACACACCTGCGAAGTTTGATATTGATTTTGTACCTACCACCACCTCAAGGCCACAATCTGTCATGCAATACACTACAAGCTAAACAATTCAGTAGCTTAGTGGTTGCTATGCATGCAACCAAAACAGTCCCTTAGCAACCGTATAATGAGCCACTATAAGGCAGGAAGTGACATAAGTCAAACTTCTGCTACGATACTCATAGGTTCCTGCAGAATTTGTTATTACTTTGTGGAAGAAAGAAATCAAGTGTTAGAATAAAATAGAATACAGTGTCCTTTAAGACACAATTTATAAAACAAAATACAATTATAAAATGCCAATGTGAAAAATTCTAACAAATCCCAAAAGTGTTCTTATGCCACTCGCCCTTTTCATGAATAATGCATGGTGGGTGTGTACATTTCAAGTGAAACTATTGACCAGTGAATATTAATGACAGAAAATTTGCATATCTGTGCACCAAGAAAGACACGAAGAGAATTTCAAGCAAGGATAGTTATCAGTCAGTTTTGCTATATTTATGAAATATATTAACAAAAAACATGAATGCCATGAACAATATAGTGTAATATACAACTGCAAGAACCCTTTAGGATTAACATGAACACCATTTTAAAATTTATATTTTTATGAATATAAATTTTAGCTTTCCTGCACACTTAATTAATCATCAATAGAGAGAGAATTCTCAAAATTTGTTATAAACAGTGACATTTCTGTAAGTCTTGCAAAAAAATTCAGTTAATGAACTCTCATATAACCAAAATTTACAGAAAATTTTGCAGCTATATTACCAGTGTTTACTGTAGATAATCATGAGATTCAGCCAGAAGCACCTATTTGTCCATAAATAGTAAAAAAAAAGTAAAGCTATCCCTGTACCAGGCCGTCAAGGCCCGTAGGGTTGTGAGACATTGAGGGTCCCACTCTGGATGCGCTTTACCACCAAGAAAAATTAATTAATTCATTAATTCCTGGTATTCATTTCTGTTAGAGGCTGTGTACTCATTTCTGTTAGAGGCTGAGCACACCCCAGGGCCTACTGCGGCTAGAAGGATTAGGTCAACTGAAAAAAATCCAGTGACCTCATCAGGACTAGAACCTGTGACCTTCCGGCTTGTAGCATAGCCCCTAAACCAACTACGCTACCGCATGCCATAAATAGTATCAAAGTTAAAACGTCTGCTAACTGAGATGATTCCATGTGTGGTCAATCTCTATGTATTATTTTGTTCCTGTACATCACAAATGATAATGGTGTGAGATCACACCTCAGTTAATTTCCCAAAGCTTTCAGACTGTATTCTTACTACTGGCAAGTTGCGTTTGTAAGTTTCATATGCTGTCATAACCAGCTGATTGCATATATTATTCTTAAAGGAATTTAAATTAATTTATTTCTGTTAATTTTGTCATACACCTTTTCATGCTGCATGAAGACCAAGTTTCACTGTTGCATTCTTATGATAAGTACTCTCTCCTGGGATGTAACACCATCTAGTCTGGTAGAAGTTCACTGACATTTCAGAGAACCATACCACCTCCAACTTCAGGGTCGCAAAGTAAGGCAAACAAGCAAGAAGCAAGAAGCAGGTGACAAACAAGAATTCTCTGTCCATCAGGTGGGAAGATCCTAACAATCATTCCTAATCCACTTGTATATGAAAAACTGGCAGAACAAACCTTACGTAAAGAAAGCAGTCTTCTGGGATTTGGCACCGTGTATATGTGGTGTTAACCGACGTTTCGGAGGAACGTATCGCCTCCATCTTCAGGGTAGAAGAAAAAGTATAAGAAATCTGCAAGCGACAAGACCGTGAGANTGTAATCCATTATTTAATGTGTGCCTACAATTGGCTTATGTAATACATATACAAACTTGAATGATTGAAAAGAATAAAAAAACTTGATATTTCTTCTGGAACTAAACAGAAAGTGATGATATATCTTACCATACCTGGTAGGGGTGGAGGCGATTAGTTTTATAACTTCTTGCTAATGAAAATATGCCATATTTGAGGACAGTTCCTCTCTGCTTGTGATTTATTGTCACCAAAATTATATTAATGTAGGCCCCTGAATTTGTTACATTTCAATACTTTGGCATTTCCTATGGACATTTAATACACTTGATTTTCTATTTTCGTTCAACAAATCGAAATGTGCGTGGAACAAAAAGTTATGTAAGGTATTATTTTAAATACTTGACGTTATATAATTCTTATACGTACTATGCGGGGTTTGTAGAAATACTTAAATTTCGAAAACCTGTATATCCAAATTGAGAAAACAATGTTAATTTGTAATACGAAAGCAGCAATACACAAAACAGATCTATATTACATTGAAATCAGGTCCTGAGACTTGCCTGCCAAATGAAGAGGCAGTGGGAATTCTCCTTAATAACTTCGAAACATCATGTTTAACGAATTTCAGGTCCGTTGCTCCATTCCAGTTTCGTCCATATGGTTTCTGACAGGATATATGCTTAATCATAATATTCCGTACCTTCGTTACAACCTAACTTACAGAGGATGCATTGTAAAATATCACTTTATGCAATCCACAAAGAATTACGTAAGTGAAACGTTCGTGGTATTTGTTTGAAATCAATTTCCTTCTGTTCACCTTTAACCAAACTTTTATCCTTAACGATTTTGGCACCATATACCTACATAATTACGTGGTGACCTTTTTTTATATTAGGCTATATCTTGCGATTCGTAAGTATTTTCGGTAAGTTTTTGATAGGTTAATTATACAAATACCATCACAAATAAAATTACTGTTATGCATTTCTCGCATTCATTCATAACAAATATAATCTGTGAAATTTGCAAAGGAATATCTAACAGGCGGGAACCTTCAAAATCAGAACGATGCTACGAAATTGGACGATGATGAAACCAAGGCGAGGGCAAAACGATTGAAGTATGTAGTTACCATACATCTTCGGATATTACCGAGATATTCAATGTAGGTATGCATCTACTATCTGTATTCACATGTCTATGTTTACATCTCCAGACAACGATATGCTTAAGATTCAAACCATTGCACATAACCCGGGTCCTCTGACACAACAGAACATTATCATACTAAATTATGCACAAATATTAGACCTTCTATGATGCTGGGATAATCTGTAATCATCATCATCAGTAATCTGTCAGACGACAGGTCCACAGTCTCTTCCAAAACAATTCCTCCACTTAATGCGATCTAGAGCTTTCTCCTTCAAATGACAGTATCCTCTTCTGTCCCCAAGGTCATCCAGCATCTTCTTATGTCTTCTTCCTCGTCTTCTTGTCATTTCTATCCGCCCCTCTATCTTTCCTTCAATAACTTCTTTTAGAAGGCAGTTTCTGCATAAAACATGTCCAATCCAATTAACCTTCTGTTTTCTTATTTCGTGTAGGATATTCCTCTGCTCACTGACTCTAATTAACACTTCTTCATTTCTCACATAATCGGTCCAACTGATCTTCTCCATCCTTCTCCAACACCACATTTCGAAACTTTCCAGATATTTCTGATCTACTGCCCTAAGTGTCCATGTTTCAGCCCCATACAGAGCTATGCTCCAAATGTAGCATTTCACTAGTTTCTTCCTCAAATTTAAGTCCAATTTGCTGGTAAAAAGATTCTTCTTCTTGCTAAATGCAGCTTTTGCCATGGCAATCCTGGATTTAATTTCACAAGTACACCTTCCATCATCTGTTAACAAGCTACCCAAATATTTAAAACATTTCACATTCTCCACTTGTTTTTGGTCTATCTTTATTGTGACTGGGGTTGGTTGTCTCGAAATTTTCATTACTTTTGTTTTCTCCACATTCATTTCCATGCCATAGCACCTTCCAATTTCAATTAGTCTATCAATCATGCCCTGTAGCACAGTTTCTTCCTTAGCCATTAACACAAGGTCATCTGCATATTTCACAGTTTGAATAATTTGCCCTCCTACTTTGAAGTCACCGAGCCCATCCAGAGCTTCCTTGGTAAGGCATTCGCTGTACAAGTTGAACAGAATTGGTGATAAACAGCATCCTTGTCGAACTCCTCTTCCAATCTGCACACTTCCTGTCTCCCCCCTGTCCAGTCGTACTCTAACTTTCTGATCCATGTACAATTTGCTAATCAATCTTCTTTCATGCCAATCGATACCTGTTTCTTTCAGGATCTGCATTAATTTGGTCCAGTTTACCCGGTCAAATGCCTTCTGCCAGTCTATGAAGCAAACACACAGTTCTTCATCTATCTCCAAAGTTCGTTCCGCTATAATTCTCATCATCCCAATTGCATCCCTGGTTCCTTTTCCTCTTCTAAATCCAAACTGATCTTCTCCAAGTACATCCTCTATTTTCCTTTCAATTCTTCTTTTAAGTATCTTTGCCATTATTTGTGCTGTATGTGCAACAAGGCTTATTGTGCGATGGTCGCTGCATTTTGTAGCTTTTGTCTTTTTCTTTAAGGCAATCATTGTAACTTCTATAAAGTCCTTGGGCCACTCTCCACTTTCATATATGGTGTTCATTAGTTTTGTCAGTGTTTTCAAACCACCTTCTCCCAGTAACTTGAGCACATCTCATCTCCTGCGGCCTTTCCCTTCATTTCCTTGATAGCTTTTTCCACCTCACTTTGTTTCCACCTCACTTTGTAAAATATATGGTCCTTTCTCGTCTGTATCTACTTCTTCTTCCGGTTCAACTTCTAAGGTTTCTGGCCGATTAGGTCGATCATATAGTTCTGAAATATAATTTTCCCAAATTTTCAGCACTTGCCTCTGATCTACTATTCTATTCCCCTGGGAGTCTTCGATGCCAACATTTTGAATCCCATGATTCTCTTTCCATCCTAGTTCTTTTGTCTTCATGTACATCAAATCATAACGGCCTGTTCTTTGAAATTCCATAATCTCATTACATATCTTCTCAAGATATTCCTTTTTGGCCCTGTCCGTGGCTCTTTTCCATTCCTCAGTCTCCTGTATTTCCTCCTGCCTTCTTCATTGTTGACATTCTTCCATTTCCTTCGCTCCTCCATTTTACTCATCATCTCCTGTGTAACCCATGGTTTTCTTGCTATCTTCTCAACTTTACCAACCAAATCACTGATAGTATCTAACATGCATTCTTTTATATTGTTCCACTGCACTTCAGCATTTCCCCTTTCACCTTCAATTGCACCCAGTTTCTCTTCTAGGGTCTCCTGCACGCTTTGTCTTTGAGCATATAACTTCAATCTGTAATATAGATACAGAGTGAATCATAAATTTGTCTGACAGCAGTACCATAATGGTGTATGTTGTTGAGAACTGAATGTTACACTCTTTATTTTTGAGGATGGAGGATAGACCATTGAAGATCACAGTGCTAGGGCCAGCTTGTGGCTCACCCCTCATACTCAAGGGGGGGGCAGAATTCCTTGGTACTTAGGCCATAAATGGCCTCTGTACTAGTCTCTAATTACTCTTTCTGTGCAATGATAATTAGAAGAGACAAAGTACTCAAGAGCCACTGTCCACCACAAATCCTACATGAAGTCTCTTTGGACTGAACTTGGCCAAAGACAAACCACCACCTGAACCATGGCATGGCCATCAGTGATATATTAGTAAAGTTTAAGTTGGCTGTGACAATCCAGCGTTCCTGAGTGTTTCATCAGTATTACTGAGAACCAGTAGATCAAGGTACCATGTGTACAGGTGGGTTAATATACCCCCACCATAGCCCTATGAGATGTAGAAGGCAATGAAAATAGAACCTGGTGGCTAGGGGTATAAGTGGGCCACCCTGTCAATGTGGGACATAAACACAGGAATCTGGTCCTCCAAGTTAAGGGCTGGATGCATGGCCCATGATCTTGGTCTGTATAAAGAAATTGTCACAAAATCCAAAACAAAAACAGGATGCAATCTGGCAGAATCTTATAAGGCTAGGGCTCCAAAAGGCCTCTTTTGCCAATGGGGATAAGCAGCTCAGTGTTTCTCAAAATTTGGCAACTGCAGACCACTACACACACAGTCCACTCAGCTATCATAATATCACCTTAGCTACAAAAAGCATGCAATTTCACTTGTTCTGCAAATAGATTATAAAGTTGCTGTAAACCACTTTTTTTTTCTAGCCATGAATGTAAATATTTTTAAATAATAATTCATTTATTTTATTACATGCCATACAACTACATGGGCTATACAATACTACACACCAGTCTGAGAAATGTTGCAGTAGATAGAAACAGCAAGTTCACAGTGTTTCCTATGCACTGTGCAACAGAAAGTGGAGGTATGCATGCTTCTCAGAAACTAGTCTCTTTTCTTTGTGGCAGAATATGGATAGCATTTTGTTCCTTGCATGGAGAGTACTAACCATATCCAGTTCTTCATGCTTGAAGATTGTATATTTCAATACTAGAATAAAGGCTGAATGTTGCAGTTCAATATATAGCACCCCAAGCCCATATTTGAGAAGTACCAGGTTCAAATCTCAGTTGTAACACATGCTGGTTTTCCTCTCAATGCAAATTCCAGAATACAAAGATACTACCTCAAACGAGGTAGTAAGATAATTGACTTAAGTGTTATGTAGACCAGTATAATAAACGCATGAATATTGGCCATTAAATTCATTCTGCAGTTTCCTTTGGTAACACTTCCTCTTACAAGTATTTCGGATACCAGCAATATACATCTTCCCTTCGGAAGAGATCTAGTCCACAACATGTAAGGGGTGCTCCTGAAAAATGTGCATCATAAAATACAGCAACAAGAATGGTAATTTTGTGTATACTCTTGCTATATGTGGAGATGACACCTGGAATTTCTTAATCACTTTTGCCTTCATTATTAGCAATGCTTATAATTTTAATATTTATTCACATTTTTCCATTTGGCAAATTTATGGTATCAATGAATTTTATGGCTGTGCCTTATATTCTTTCCGGAAGTCAAAACTCTCTAGCTTGAAGTACATAAACCATGGGGCCAAAATGCATTTCAGTTCTCAACACTTCCAAACATTTCATCACCTATCATATGACTGATAATTTCCTAACACGTTCATAACTAGGAGTGGTCTACTGGGCTGTAACACTTGACATTTTAGAAGAACATGTTACCTTCATCTCCAGGTTCAAATAAACCAAGGAAGGTTATTTTTATTTGCATGTACTAGTCTATTGCCCTGCCTCAATTCTGTTAAATGCACTGAAAGATCATACTGTAAGTGTAAATACACAGCTGGTATGTAAAAATATAGAAATCAAAATGTGATCTACATGTGAACACTGAATGATGTACACAGAAGATACAAGTATACTATGTAGAAATGAATATACTGTGGGGGGGGGAGCTGGTAAATACATTCATAGTATACAAATTTTATTCACTCAATTCTTCCATAATAATGTGTGAATGAGTTTTAATGCCATCCTATCGATAGAATAACATTTCAAACAAAAACACATATATGCATCCTTCTACTTTTAACACAACATTCCAGGGCCAAAATTATGGTAACTATAAACAGATGGCTTCAATAATCTTCACTGTTCATTGAATGTACAAAACTTGAAACATTTTGGAGTATTCACTTACTTCTTCAAATCCATAATGAACTTTTATTTTAATCCGTTCAGGACATTTTTTCACTCGGATAAACTTGTAGCAAGTTACACTTGACACACAAGCAGGAATGCTTTAAGGTCCTGAAGTGACAATTAAAATGAGAACTGAAATGGCTTCCAACATTTCTCTTTGTGCGTAAAGTCATATTTAATAAAATGCAATTTGCTCTCAACAGAGCAATTTTAAGATCTAAAATGGTGGAAAAATTAACAACACTGCAGATTGATCAAAAGTATATTTCAAAATAAAAATGTATTACATCTCTTTAAGCCTATGGGGATAAATTTCAAACAGAGTAAATTTTAAATTAAAATATGTATATTTATCAAATGTAAGACAATATAATATACAGTAGTTTACATGTTCTCTTAAAAAATTGATTTCTTCACAGCACAGTGCTCAATTAATTAAGCACAGGGACTTTACATAATGTGTCGGATTAGACAGGATGTGTAAATGGTTACCTGTAATTTGGCTAAAAGTAGATGAACATGAAGGCACAATTAGTTTGACACAGTTAAAATACCAAATTGAGAACATGCTGACATCTCCCAGTGCAAGATGAGTATTACCCACTATCAGTATCTTTAGATCCTCGGACCAGGGATATTTAAGTAAAACACAATCAGCAGTTATTTATATATTATACAACAGGTCTTCTCCGGATGCCTACAGTTTTGTACTGTCATGGTAATGAACCTTGGAGATAACTGCGCATGCAGTCACAGTACTGATCTGGATCCATTCAGACTTGTTGCACACATTTTTACTCTCCATGCACATAGATTTAGAGTGGGTTAGAAGTGTGGTGGTATACAGCAGTGATGTTTTAAAGGTGCAGGACTGTATTTTTCCTTTCCACAAGACCAACTTTTAACTGATTTGGTTATGGCATTTAGACACTTGTTAATGCAATATTATTAATAAACATCATACAACAGATGCACATCTCTTCTAATGTGAATACATAACTTACCTGCCACAAGAAAACTGTGGATCAAAATTTTGGCCAAGTAAAACACTGTGGCATATTTGATCTATTCAGGAACTGTTGAACCGCAGAGGCCTCGGGGGCATGCGAGCAACAGGAGAGTTGCGGATTGTATCGGCATTTTGCTAGGTGACAGCTCTGTGAATGCTTGGATTGCGCAACAGTAAGCAAGGCTCACACGACTTCTGTGTTTCCACAAACGACATGCTACACAACACTCGGTAAACACCCTTCCATGCTAGGCTGTGACATCACGCAACAGTGATATCTATCATGTAACTGGCTTTCTATAGAGTCCGTGCCATGACTATTGCTATGCAATGAGTCGGTAAATACGTTTGAACAATATAGACTGTTTTCTGCGTGGTCAGTGCGGAAGCTATAGAATGACAGTTACAGACAGAACAGATGTCAGTATTTGCGAGAATCTGGCATATTTGAGTGTTTAGGTGACAGGGAAAGGGTTCTCAGTAGAAGATAGCCCTGGAAAGTTTCTCTTTGAGAAGATTAACATGTAGTGATCGTGAATTGCGTGAATCAGCAAGTGTCACAAGCAGGGCCCGGATTTTGATGACATGTCATCTTTTTTTCCTTGTATCCTATGCGATGCTCTTAAATATATAAATCTCGGATATGAGCTGCTGGTTACAGAAATGTAAATTTTATTGGTAATTTTTTGTCATTTTTTGACATTTTTAGGTTTAGGGTAATTTTTTGGACTTTTAAGGGTATTTCTTGTCATTTTTGGCCATTTTAGGGACTTTTTCTTCATATGTTTTCTGAAATGTGAATAACATGGAAGTGAAGTGTTCTTTCTTTTCTCCTTTAGGTCATTTCTCTGGATTTTTTCGGTCATTTTTTAAATATTTTCAGGTCATCAAAATCCGGGCCCTGGTCATAAGTTACTGTAGTTACGACTTGTCAATTGTTAATAAAACCAATTAACAATCTGAGTGGAATCTTCAGCAGACAAACATGTTACAATACTTTGGTCTAGATCAAGTCCACACATTTCTCAACAGTTTTTGCCCACAGATAAAGGATTTACCTGTAGCATACTAAATTCGCACTCAACCTCTGGCTCCTTATCACATGTTAGGATCCTGAGTTTTCAAACTTCTCTGCTACAGTTCAAGTCCACAGATAAAACTTTGAATGTATGACCTCCCAATAGCTGCTGTTATTCAATCACAGCCCTGGAGGCTATATTCAATACAAAAATGCAATCTTGTCGAAATTATAGCCAACTATGTACATACGAGTATGGTGTGATACACAGGACAACTGTTACCCCATATAATAAAGTAGGTAGCTTAATATGTAGCCAAAGCATTCCTGCAGAACCAGCATTTGCTTAACTGCAGGAATGTAATACTCAAAAGTGATACAATAGAACACAACCAGTACTTCATATATGCCACACAGTAATACTAAACAATGGCACTATTTCTAACAATATCATAATTAGAAATAAGCATCCAATGTAAAAACATTTTCTTCTTTGTTAGCCATCACTCCACACTTCTGGTACTCCCCAACTTTCTTCTCAAAGAAGTTAGTCTTGCCTTCCAACGAAATGTGTTCCATGAAGTCAAAAGGGTTTTCTGAATTAAACATCTGAAATAAGTTGTAAAGTTCTGTAATTACACTTATCCTGCATCTGTGGTTAATCATTGTTTCAGTTTTATTTCTACTTTATTTAATGACTGTTAACTGAGACTACAGGCAACAAATGGCTGAACGCTGCTGAGTAATGACTTGTACTGGATGTGGAACTGGTTTGGGCCTATTTTTATGGTAATATCCTGAGTTTTGCCTGGCGGGACTAAGGCTAAGTGTGCACAGGCAGTTTTCCTAAAAAAAAACTACAAAAGACATTGGTCAAGCCTGTGTCCCAGCTATTTCAGACACATACCATGTAAAAATTCAGTTCCCACCTCCCCTCCCCCAATCTCTACCTCTCCTTTATACTCCATAGCCTGTAGTCCACAAGTGAACTATACTGACCTAGCGACCGCCACTTGTCGGCAAAGTTAGTGCCAACTTTTGTGGATAGAGGGTGTCATGTGGCTGCTAATTTTGGTTTTCTAGACTGGAGCCGCTACTTCTCCATTCAAGTAGCTCCCAATTATCCTCATGAGGCTGACTGGACCCCGTTCCAGACCCACTACTTCTCAGAAAATCTGGTAGTGTCGGGAATCGAACCTGGAACCTGTGGATCTGTAGGCAGGAACTCTGACCACTAGACCTCTCCTTATAAAAATTATAAACCGGTCAACGCTCTATAGAGATATAACTGCTGCACAGTCTGAGAATCATACTAGTACATACATACATACAAATTACAGGGGTTGTGAATATAAACACTTCCACTCCAGAGACTCTGCCACTTGCTTCCCTGCCCACCTATTAACCTGGGAGTTTGCAGTTCAAGCAACTGATAAAGGATCTATGAGTATCCATCAATTACCAAATGCGCAAACATTTAACAGCAGCAAATAATCACACTCAAAGTGTTTTCTGAAATAAATAGTATGTCACAGCATGTCTCTGTTCAACCTTCATTGGATATGCTGGTCTGGACAAACTACATACCTTGGATAGGGACACAAAATGGTTAGAGCAACTAACATATGGTTGCCATTGTGCTTTTATGGTCAAGCGCTGGAACTGTAAGATATTTTAATTCCATTTCCTGCTTATTTTGGGCATAAAAGCTTCTCCTGTATGATTAAAACAGAAAACTATTTTGCAGTGATTTACCACTGTCCATACAATTGGATCAAACTGATTATTATCCTGTTCACACATTAAAATAAGTGCAGCTTTCATATATGAAAATAATTCAATTAACCCACCTTTTTACAGTTCAGTTCAACGAGCAGACGATCAGCCACAAACTCGATGTACTGCTTCATGAGGTTGCAGTTCATGCCAATCATTGCCACAGGTAAAGCTTCGGTTAAGAACTCCTGTTCTATCGCAACAGCATCCCTGATAATGGATTTTACTTCTTCTTCAGTAGGTTTCTGTACCAAGTGCTTGAACATGAGGCAAGCGAAGTCACAGTGTAGCCCCTAAAGCAAATTATGATTACCAATGAACATGCTGAAGCCACACATTACCGCCCGGGTCTGCAGTAATTCTTTATTTTGTGTATTTTATTAATGGTGCATTCAGGACCTCATACTATCAAATGTTAAGTTTACTGAATAGGAAATGATGTGGAGGTGGTCGTGGCCTATTCGAGGTACTGTCTCAGCATATACCTCAAGGGACTGAGGGGGGGGATTCAACCAGACCAGTTGTTATGGACCAGATTCAAATTGGAAAACCTCTCAAACACAGATCAGAAGTGGTGTTGCTTGCATCAACTTCATCAGTTGAGTTACTTCACGGTAAAAACTCAAAATCACATTGCGACTGGCTATCAGTCAGTCTTGGTGTTGAGCCCAATCTGGACCTCATGAGCAGATATTTATTACTGTTTGGCAGTTACAGTCTTGTTTTTGTAGGGCGCCGTCTCTGACAAGAGGATGGGCATGTCTTCTGTATATGCTGCTGGCCCTTGCCAGCGCACTCTTTCTTAGATCCTAGTCCCTTGGGACTTACAACCATATTTTACTGTCTCAGATTTGAGACTTCCCTTTTTGTCGCCTCCTACGACTCGCAGGGTCACAGTGCAGGTATTCAACCCCGTTTCCACACAGGTTGCGGCCTTCATGGTAAAATGAATATCAAATGATTTATATATGTCCAAGAAATTGCATATCACCTAGCAACAAGGGCAGGGGGGTTGGGTATCGCAGTCAGGACAAAGCACCAGCATACAAGCCACCCTGGAATACTGGAGGGAAATTGTTAATAATCCAATTATTGCTCACTGGTATGGCTCACATGTAGAATTTAAAAAGACAATCAAAACTAACATATTTATTCTGCAAAATAATGTGATAACACAACCCAAACGCCATGTTCTCTAAGCGCCACGTTTGCTGCTCACTGAATCATGTACCGAACCGAACCGAACCTCATACCCTTTTTGCTCTAAAATCTACTTTAACTTTGTTGGAAAAGAGGAAACAGAAAGTGATCTAACCTCATCTCTTGAAATCAATTCATTGCTGAATGTGAGACCAGGCATAAGTCCTCGCTTCTTTAACCAGAAGATAGCAGCAAAACTTCCCGAGAAGAAGATACCTTCAACAGCAGCAAAAGCCACAACTCTCTCACCAAACGTTGCAGTCTCATGAGCGATCCACTGAAGAGCCCAATCTGCCTTCTTTTTTACACACGGCATTGTTTCAATAGCGTTGAATAAGAAGTCCCTGTGTGTAGAATGAGAAAGTCACAATAGCAACATCTGGCAACACAGGCATACTTACACATCACTGGGTGACCCAAGTCGGTTTCAAATTTACTGCCATGTTCACCATATCAGTGCTGCCGACAGCAGAAGTTTATATGCAAAAACAAACGCAAGCCCAAACTTATGAGTTTAGGCACTTAACAAGCAAAACGCACAATTCTTACGGATGCAAATATACAGTGCAATCATGACAGCTTCCCACAATCAGGCCCACGTGTTAGGTCAATATGATCAAATATATCAACACCTAAATCCTAGCTAAATACAATGAAAGAATTTGAGTCGTCATGCAATTGTTGATGGATCTGTTTGCTGCCCAATGCACACTCACTGGAAAACACCATTGATATAACTACAGAGAAAAATATATGCAGACCCTTCAAAAAGTCTATTATAAAATTCACAAAAGTATTAAAACAAAAGGTTTGTTAACACCACTGCAAAGAGGAAGAACTGAATGGTACACTGACACTGTCTCCCGCAGACTGACTCCAGATTGTCTGACATTCATAGAGCATGTGGTGGGCTAAGTTTGACATAGAACTGCAGAAGGTTAACATAACCTCAAATCCCAGTCATTTACTTAAAAATCACAAATTTACCTTAAAATAACCCATTTCCCAATGCATACTTAAAATTACTAATTTACCTCAGAATATCAAATTTCCCCGTGTACATAAGATGTATTTTTCTTTGAAATAACCCCAAAGAATTGCAATCCATGTTATATGCAGGGAAAAATGAAAATGAGATGTTAAAATCCCAGAAATACACAAGTCTTATGAGTCAGTAGGTAAATAAAGTCTGCTCTTAGGCCCCCCATACACACACAGTTTGGCCTTCCGATCGACCTTACAGGCAAAACTGTGAAAGTTTACCCCCTCCCTTTCCTCCCCATACACGCACAGATAAAGCGGCAGGCTTCATGGCACAATCACAGTCTTCCAGCCTATAATGTTGAGTCACACACGTCACGTGCTACGGTCCTGCAGGCAGAACTGATGGGTTTCCCACAGGCCAACAGCCCAAACGATTGGCCGGCCAGCCGGCCGCACCACATACGTCAGTTTTGCCTTTCAGTCTTCAACTGTGCAGGCCAAACTGTGTGTATGGGGGCATAAAGGTAAGGTAAAGTTGTCGCTGTTCTTAACTAATTAAGCACTACGCCACGAAGGTGTATGGGGCAGTGGTTGTATAGAGCCACATTTCCTCAATCTCAGCACTAGTCGGAGGTTAAGTGGTCAGCTTCAAACCCCAAAAATTCTGCTCCTAAATAAGAGATTTTCTTGGGAAAAAATAATTCTCCTTCTTAAACCATTGAATGCTGATTGTTCTATCAAGGTATAACTCCAGTACAAGCCTGGCATCATAGCTAGAATCAATGTCATGCATATAACTCAGGACAGGTTCAGTACATATGCATGTATGTAGATATACAGGAGAGGGACAGCACTATTTGGCAAACTCGTGATTTCAGCTTACTCCTACATTACTTTGTGAAACTAGACAGAAAAATGAGGAGTGCTATCTCTTCTGATGTAATGCCATAGTCTGGCAGTACATTGCTTCCATTCTCTGCATCTTAGGGTGGCCCCACACCAACTGCATCAAGACATGAGACAAAAGACGCAGTCTTGCTTCATCCGTGATTTGTCAGCATCATGACTCAGACTGATGTACGGCGGTTTTCATGATCTCATTCATTTCAACTGTGCTTCTTTCTTTGTATCATGTCACAGACATTGTGTCTTGACTGTTACATGTCTTGACGCATGCCAGTGTGCGGCCTACCTTACTGGCTACTTGCCCAGCTGTCTTTGCCCCTGAAAACAGTATTAGTACATTCCTCTAAAACACTGGTAGACTGTCCTCAGACTACCTTCAAGATCAGTTTGCTTGGCTGTCTTTAACCCTGAAGATGGAAGCAGTACATTCCTCCAAAATATCAGTGTGAACTACCAGACTACACAGAGTTACAAATGCTGTGAGAACCTCAAACCAAGTACAAACATCAAACTCTATTTTATACTGCATACCTGTGTTTAGAATCCCTGATGTAAGTATGAATCAACAAACTGTACATTTCTGAATGGACATTTTCCATTGCTATCTGAAAACCATAGAAGCACCTTGCTTCAGTTATCTGTACCTCCTGACTGAACCTCTCCACTAAATTTTCATTAACTATGCCATCTGAAGCCGCAAAAAAGGCAAGAACATGCGAGATGAAATGTTTTTCATCTGATGTCAGAGAATTCCAGTCTGGCATGTCCTGAAACAATACAAGACTATATTCAGAAGGTAGAATTTTGGGAACAGGCAATTTTACTTATCACTTGCCGGTCAATTTACCAGCCATTGGGTATCTTGTTACAATGAGACAGTCATATCATGGCTAAAATCACTGACTGGGGATAGATGCTAGCAGGGACACACGTATGCCCCTCCTCTGGAGTTCTGGAAATGAAAACTTAAGACAGAAATATACCCAATGTTAACATGAATTAAGAAGTATTATTTTCTGTTCTTCTAGAGGTGAATGTAAATAAAACTAAAATGCTGATACAATCTAGACGGAATCCAAGGCAAACTGGAGAAATTAACATGGAAGGGGACGGGATAGAAATAGTTGAAGACTTCATATATTTAGGATCGAAATTCCACGAAGATGGAGAGGAAAATCATGAAATAACAAGAAGAATAAAACTAGCAAATAATGCATATTTCTCGTTACTATCAGTTTTTAGATCAAAGGATATACACCAAGAGATTAAAACAAAAATATATAAAACAATGTTAAGACCGGTGCTTTATTATGGATGTGAGAGTTGGACGCTAAACAAGAAAGAGGAATCAGTCATCAATTCTTTCGAGAGGAAAATCCTAAGACGAATTTATGGACCAATAAAAGAGAATGGGATATGGAGAATAAGATATAATAAAGAGTTATACAAATTATATAAGGAGCCAGAGGTCTCAGTGACGATAAAGCTTAAAAGATTGCAATGGGCTGGGCATGTACACAGAATGGATAAGGAGCGTATCCCAAACAAAATATTAAACAGAACAATAGGTGGTAGGAAACGTGTGGGGAAACCAAGAACTAGATGGATTGATGCAGTGGAAGATGCAAAGAAGTTAATGGGAGTAAGGAACTGGAAGAGAGCTGCACAGGATAGAGAGGAATGGAGGGGCTTGATAAGGGAGGCCAAGGCCCGAAATCGGGCTGTTGCATCATAGAAGAAGATTTTCTGTTCTTCAAAGAAGATATCCTGCATGCCTTTATTTTGTTGCCTGCTGTCAATGCCAGCATTATTATTCAGGGCTATTCTACTCCCTGGCGAGTACCAAACTTGTCCAGTTTAATCCAGGCTTAGTTCTTAGGCAACCCACAAATATGGAAAAATCAAACACTGGCAGTAATAAAATATTGCTTCTATAAAAAAAAACTTTAAAATAATAACAATGCCTCAAGAGAATCATGGGGAAATTTGCATATAATTAGAGAATATCATGGCACAAATGATTTTGACTGTCAAGATGATGATGCAGATTGGTAGAATATGAATGGTGACATTCTAACAACTACATAAGATCACACGACTAATTTTCAGTTACCACCATAACTACAAACCCTGACCATCTTAACTGTCGTCTTCTGAGTTACAATACGTCAGTCTCCAGTAGGTGCTCAGCAATGTTTAAGAGGAACCTACTGCCTTTATCTTCAGAGAAAGTGTCATAAACCAGAATTAAAATTATGTAAGAAATTACCACTTGTGCTATAGATAAAATCAGTAGGTTCCTCCACATCAGTAAACACCCAGAAGAATTGCTAACCCAACATTAGTCACAAAAACTGTAACAAAACTGCAAAGGCTTGGGTTCATCTTGACTGTACAGTTTACCTTGGATAAGTCGACTTCTTCTGCGGTCCAAAAGGATGCTTCTGCCTTTTTGTACATTTGCCATATGTCTTGATATTGGATGGGGAAGATTACAAATCGTCTAGGGTTCTCTCTCAACAAGGGTTCCAATTGTACATCAAACTTCTTGGTGGCAACATCTTTTTTTGCAGTTTCCTGGAACAAATCAACCAAGTAATTCAGAATATAGGCTACACGTCTAACCTCACTAGTTTTCGGCGATAGCCCTACAGTTCATACTTACGATTATATGATGACCTGTGATATTACGATTACTGCTGTCCTGCAGAACTTTCGTTGCCTTTGTATTAGATCCGGTGTAACTTGCCTGCAACAGAAGGGGCCTTATAAATTTAACCATAAGTAGCTAACTTTCTTTACAACAAATGCTTTGGTTCATGTGGATTATTAACCCAGCCTTCTGTACCTTCTTCATCAAGTTTATAAATTTTATTCGCATATTAAACAAATAATTGGAAGGTAGCTGCTGGCTTCAATTTGAGAACAAGTTTTCATTTTGCATACCTAAATTCTTCATTACAGTCCACTACTACTCTAGTAAAATACGCTACCTTGTCCTTTAAGTTCAGTTTATCTAGTTTTGGAGACACATTCTCCTTCTGGATCACGTTAATTGTCTGAGACATCCTCTCTGCGTCCTCTTCCCTCAAAATCCGGCAGCGAACAATCGTGAACCCTCGTGAAAATTGCTGTTATATTTAATTACAACCAAACTCGACGCGTATGACTACGAGGGAAAATTTGGCGCCATCAGATGTTTGCCTTCTACACCAATGAGACTCTGCAGTAGGCGTTGTTTTTCTAGCGTAATCCAATAGCAATTTCGAATTCAAATTCAGGAGCTATGTCGGAACGTGTCTCTTTCCCGCTTTTTGCAAATTTTGGAAAAGTAGGTGAAGTTATATATTTGTAAACACGTTAATATCGATTAAAATAAATTGTAAGACGGTGGGCACTTTTAATATAAAAATATTCATCCTGTGACAAATTATTTATACGAAACAGGATATGACTTGTATTAAGGAGGGAAGTTCAAATATAGGGTCTCGCATCGACCAAGCCTTGTATCAGTACGCCTCCTTCATGCAACACTATAGTCGTGTGCTCACAAAAGTTATTACCATAATGACTAGAAACTTCACTTCAAATTAAAAATAGATGAAAGCATTTATGACATGGGTAACCATTTATATAGACATATTAAAGGACAAAGTTCAGTTACCTTATGATGACAATGAATTTTGTACAAAGAAAAAGTATCTATTCTCCTTCCTTTTCTGTAGTTAATTAAACAATGCTGTCAGTATCTTGCCTATGTAACGGTAGCATGATTGATAAATGCTTAATTTGAAACGATTTGGAAGTGCCTGCTTTCTAATCGAGGTACTATCTTGTCATTTGCCTGGTGGAATTGAAGGAAACCACAAAATCCTCAGTTATGATAGTTGGCATTCCCTTACCGGCATTCGAACCTAGTACCTCCCAAATACAAGATAAGGTCGCTATCACTATACCAACCTGCATGACCATTATATTACTCTTACACATAATAATAATAATAATAGCAACAACAACAACAATAATAATAACAATAATAATAATAATAATAATAATAATAATAAATCTGTTGATCTTAAGTGACTACCTTGTCACAATAGTAGTCTGTGTCTTCAGATGTGGGTGGAGCAAAAACTGTTTCATGCTTGAAGCTATGGGCACCACTAGGATTGTTTTCAGTGGTGGAAGAGAAGCCATTTAACGTGTTTTACTGAATGTCCTAGAGTATTTGGGATAATGGAACAAATAAAAATATATATTTTCCATTCATATTAATAGTATTTGTTATATTGCCCTTGAGTCTTTTATTTATTTTTTCACAATTTCAGGGTGGGGGAGATGCCTGGATTGCCTCCCACCTCGCCAATATCTGGAGGGAAACTGTGGAAAGCCTTCAAAGCAGTGGTTCACACAGAGTTGTTTCTGTTGCAAATAACTTACCTTAAAATACAATTTGTCATGAGATTATCATAAACGATTTGAACAAAGACATATCCTCTTGCATAACTAAAGCAACAGACAACAAAGGAAAAATTGGAATTTGTGATGGTGGCAGGGTTTCATAACAATAAGAAATTTCTTGAGCATTTTAACCCCTTAGCATACAACTATTAATATATACACCACTTGCATGAATATTTAAATGTAACTCATCATTTTATCCACTGACTGTACTCATATTTATGACTTTCATACAATTCTCAGACTAAAGAGCTATTATTCCCTTAAATAGGAATAACTAGTTCATTTTTATAACTGAGATACATTGTGTTTTCTGTTAAGTAGGAGCTGAATTAAAAATATAATTTAGATGAATTTCTGTCTTAATGGGGCTAATAACTACCGTGTGATGAAGAAAGACTATTAGTCTATTCAACTAGTCAGTTAGCAAAGTGGTAAATTTTCCCCTTCCCCCCAACTCTAACACCATTCCATTATGGTGCAGTGTGTGCTGGAAAAAAATTAGAACACTTCTGAATCATGGAAAATGACGTTCTTGCTTTTCCAGAAAAAATACTGTTAGAAGTCATCCAATTGATTGGGGAGGGGTGAAAATGGAGGTGAGAAAAATCATGATATCCTTAATAAACTATAATGCTCCAAAATAACATAAAGAACATTTTTCTGGCGAAATTTGTCTCTTTTCCTTCTAATATGAATAAGATGAAAAACTGTGTTTTAATTATCTAGGTCCATGGTGCAGAATTTCATTTAAAAAGATTACAGTTACACTTCTGGGCAAGATGGTCCTTGTCACTTATGGAACTTGGAAGTTCATTGCCATGCTCACAACAGTCTGCCATTTAGCTCTATCCTAGTATTGAAACTACTGTACATAGCACCAATGATGGAGTAAGAATTAGACACGTAACCCGAAGCATTTGAATAAAACCAGCCCCAGTGCTACTATGTCCACCACAAATCCCACATGATCTGACCTTGGATTGAACCAAGTCTGTCGCAGTGGGAAGCTTGTGACTAACAACTTGAGACATGGCATTGCCAGCCCACATCATCACAACCTCTTTCTGCAAGGTCTGAATTCATTTCTTTTCTTGATGCGTACTACATTCCCTGCCAATAACATCAACCTTGATCTAATAACCGTAATAATACTTCGTGAAAAGTACAGATTATGACGCTTCTTATCATTTAACATTCTCAATCCTCCTGTTACATCTTGTTTGTTATGTCCAATTATTATTTTCAGCTTTTTGAACCAAACAATACCAATCTCTAGTCATCGTCTAGGCTTACAGATAGTTTCACGCCCATATAAAATGGGTAAAATACTTTACTCAGGTGAAGGTAACAGTTATCGAATCCCAATAAATTTTGCTAGAAACATACCCTTCTCTCGATTAGGAACAAGACCTCTACTCATCTGAAGGTCCCGAGGTTGGTTCACTTTCTGCATCTATGAGTATCATGTCCCTTTAGATGGCATCATGTTTTGTATTTGAAAGCTGTCTCATCAGGGATAACATTCAGTTAAGTTCTGCTGTAAATACAGACAACACTGAACTTCCATTTCCCATTATATTATACCCCAAGACTAGATTGATAAACACAACTTATATTACAATGAAACTCAAATGTATTCATGCCAACAGAATAATAATTTATATATATTCTGATTTCAGAATTTTATGGTTATTAAACTTCCCGGCTCCCTGTGTATGAGTCCTATTAGTTGTGCTGATGTCCAGAAATTGTATGGATATTCATTTGCATAGTTTGGATCTTGTTCATTGAGTTTTGAGACATCCTGGGTAACTTCTGAACTTACAGAGGAGATAAACACAATTCACCAGTTAGTACTGCATAAACTCTCTGATTTATTTCTTATGGGAACATTTTCAGAGAGTGGATTCTGCCATTTTAATAAATATAATTAGATTATTACATAAACAACAACAAGAAACAAATATATAATTCAACAATCTGTACACAGTGCACGAATTTGGTACAATCCACATCTTACAGTTTACAGTTTCTTAATCAACATGATGAGTTACAAAGAGAAGGACAGGGAAAGGCCATTATTTTTATTTGTGACCAAGTGGATTTGAAATGTTCATGTAGTTTATGTAACACTCGTTTAATAAACATTTAATATTTTCAGTGCTCTTAACAAATATAATGGGCATTATAGTCACTTCAAAATATAAGGTAAATGTATTGTAATACATTCCATATAATTACATTTTATACCTCCAATAATGCAGACTGTATACGATGCTTTTAATTTTTTAACTATGCAAAAATATAAAGCACCCAAATACTTCACTTCTAGCGCTTTAATACATCAAAATATATTTGTATTATATTATATTTCAGCATCCAGTTGCATTGATGTATCACTTGATCACTCATTTCCATCTCTAATGCAACACAAAACTTTCACAGTCTCTCCTTTACTTTAAAATGTTATTAAAATCACATTTAATTGCAACGTGTTTTGTCCTTAGAAGGACATCTTCAGGAAGGCAGTTTCAGTTGTAGAACAACTGTCTGAAGATGGCCCTGTAAAGCCGAAACATGTTGCAATTAAATGTAATTTTAATACTTAACTAATTAAGCACTACACCATAAAGACATAAGGGGGAGAGGTTGTATAGATCCATATTTTCTTGACCTCATCTTTAGGCGGGGTGAAGGTGAGTGGTCAGTTTCACGCCACAGTTGCTTTACCCCATGGGGAACAGTCCCCAATACAAATTCAAGAGGAGGTTTGGTGGACCCCAGAGCAGGTCTGGACAATGACTTGAACTCTGACCCCTTGGTCATCCAGCCCATAGCCAGTCACTACACCAGCTACGCTATCCTGGCTTCTTCAGTGGAATTTTAATGACATTTAAAATAAAGGTGAGACTACTATTAATAATGTTATATTTTAGCATCCCGTTGCACTGATTCATGTCCATGATTTATTCCAGCCGTCTTACAGTGCATACACTCATCCACTTCACTCTTCACTCCTGCACTACATGTTTCGGCACAAAGGTGCCATCTTCAGGTGCTTTTCGATTTACGTTAAACTACTTCACTGCATGCCTTGCCGTCTTCATACTAAAATAACTAAAAGATATGTTCATCATCTATATTGAAAAATATTAATTATTAAAAATATTAAAAATATTAAAACTGTTCAGGATTTTAATATTTTNGGTGAGACTGTGAACAGTTTGTGTTGCATTACAAATGGCAATAAGTGAAAGAGTGATATATCTCTTATTATCAGACACAGATTTAAAGACACAAGGATTATATCTTCAACCTTATATTTAAAGCTGACAACACATGATTATTTAGTTGAATTAATGTAGAAGCTATATGTTTTCGTTTAATTTTCAATCGTATAGATTGAAACAATAATGTTGTACACACATGACCATTTATGTACGATAACCTTTATGTATTTTATCAAATCGTTAGCTATTAATAGAAGCAACGCTGATTTGTATACTTCTGCCAATATATGTTTTATCTTCTAACACAACCCCCAGAAATTCGTTAATTTACAAGAGAACAAAATTTCAAGATCCATTCTAACTTAGTATGATACCCAAAATAGCAAACAAACCTCATGTCATAGTTTCAAATTGCATGTTCCTGAATATTGTTCTTTTTCCCATATCGGAAGGCAAGGGGCACCAATTTTGCCAGAAATATGCTGCATGCCTCCTCACAGTTGAAGTCTAAATAACAATCTGGAAAACAATATAAAATATGAGACATTTTAGATTTATCTGAGCTGATAATATTAATACCATAAATGTTAAGTGTCATATACATAAAGACGATTTCTGTAGTTTATGTAATCAATACTTTTTACAGAGAAAATTGACTGAAGTAAATTGTTACATTACAAGTAAACTGTATTTGCAATAATAAGACAGAGCTTGATAATTTCTGTCAGCTCATATACAGGAAACAAAGCAGATTAAAACTTTGAGTCCATGGTCAGTTCTTAATACATGGTATGTGTGTTCTTATGTGTGCATGCAATAAATATGATATAATAAAGAACTGTGTGTGTTACAACATTCTGGCTCTCATTTTTGTGTTTCGAATACCTTATTTAGTCAAAAGCAACTTATTTCACATCTGTTGTCAAAGGAAATGAACATTTGCTGTGTTCTGTTTTATTGATAATATTTTTATCTTGTCATGTTTCAAAATTAAGGGAAATTTTTTAATGCTGCCAACACAGAATGATCATTTACAGGTAAAATGGTTGATCTCATTAGAACGGGTAATTGTATTATGTCATAATTACATTTAGTAACTGCGGAAATGTACAAAAAATTTATACATTTTTTCATTATTCTGTATCTTCATTGCACTGTTATAATTACTAGATAAGTATTTTAAAATGTACCCAATAATGCCTTTTATGCTCTCTAGATTTTTTTCCATGCTATCGAGACCGATTCTGAAGTTCATGTAGCCTCCTATCCAGTGGCTACCAGGGGATCTTTCCTGGATGGTAAATTGACCAGGGCTTGAAGCTGACCACTTGTCTCCCACTAGTGCCAAAGTCAGGAAAACTTGGATCTATACATCCACTCTCCTATACACCTTCATGGCTTAGTGCTTAATTAGTTAAGCACAGGGACAACTCTACTTTTACCTTTACTCCCTCTAAGCATCTCCACAGTTGAAGAGCCGAGAAGATGGCAACTCTATATGCAGAATTGTTGGATAGATAATGTGCATAGAAAGTGTGAAAGCAGGTGGCTAAAGCAACATGAAAATATGATCATAGAGGTGAAGAATATGAGGAAGCCCAAGGAGGTATTGGAGGTATTGCCAAACTGTATGTATACTAGCACAAAGCTCTAGAACTTTAAAAATGAATAATTATAAGGTCACTCAACATTAAGCTTTTGTGTTATTTCAGAGTCATGCATGAGACGGGATGTCCTCCAGAATCCAATTCTGAAGAAGAACGTCATATAAACGGTTTGGCTTACAAATTGTGAATAGAAACATTTAGGTTATGACCACATTAAAAGAAAGAAGTGTCATTACATAAGTTTTATGTATCAAGTTGATTGAAATAGTAATTGAGTTACTTCCATTCATGCAGTACATAAACATATAGGCTGTCCATTGTTATTTTCTTGTTGTAGCGATCATGGGAGCTACCAGAAGTTTTCCAAAGGGGGGGGGGGGNTCAATTGAGGATGCATATTCCTGCCCCCCCCCCGCCCCCCAGCACTCAAGAAAGTGTCTGACCATGTCTGACAGTGTCTATCATAAAGATATAGCAAAATGGTAACGTGCTGTAAATTATTTGGATGGCACGTAACAAGTGAAAGATTCAAATACATTTCAGATTAGGAGTAAGTTTATGGATGATCAAGTTCCAGAATGTGGAGTATGTCACAAACTGGATAAATGCTGGATTCTGGTCCACACTTATAACATATTTATAATTCTTATTATTCCGTTCTTTAAGCTTGAATTAATTTTCTGTATACATTTCAAAATAATACTATTTTGAGTATATGAGGAAGACTAGGTGATTTGGATGGAGTTTATGCCTACTTGACTCCATAGATAAATTAAATAAGGAGTCCCTGCAAGTAAATTATTTGCATTGACATCCCACATAAGAATCCACAATATTGATGTAAAGGTATGCACACATTTGTTGGATTACCTTTATGAATATGGTACAAACCTTATCATAAAAATAACGTGCAATTTATTAGAATACAAATTATCATTATTAGAATACAATGAATATTTGAAAATAATTAATTAGAACTTTAAAAATATTAAACCATTTCATACCAACCTGATGTAAATGTTTAAAAAATCAACATTCTTATACCTATATTCATAATTCCTTTAAGAACTTCTAAATTAATGAGTAGAATTCCAAAAATAATTTATTATTTCTATTCAGAATTCATTATAAAATAATTTGATTCATGTAGGATCTGTTGTATTGACATTTCTCAAGGCATGTGAGGCACAATTGCACCATCCTTGACAGTGGCAATATCTGGCCACAGTGGTGGCTGAACTGATTTAATATTTTCTGTGATTGGTATCTTGATACCTGCTGAAGCTGATACAGGAGAACCTGCAATGAATGGTTCTACCAAAGATGTTGTAACATAGCCATAGTAAGCATTATTACTGCAGCAATGCCCATTGTTGTTGTTATGGCCTCCAATATGTAAGAATGTGGAAAGCAGAAGAGTAATAAGAAGGACCAAGCCTCCACAGCAAAACACTGCAAGTCCAGCAAGACGGCAGAGTTCAAGTCTGCGATTAAAAGCTATGGCTGTACGATCTAATATTTCCAAGTTATTATGATGGCCTACAATCATCTCACGCTGAGGTGTCAAATATCCTACTAGGAGTGTAATGACTCCAACTAACATAAGGTTGATTCCTCCCCATAGTCCAGCACGGAACCAAAATCCATGGCAGCATTTACGACAGCCTCGGTGTTTTACTGGATCCACAGTATATTCAAAGTCATCTTCCTGTAACATCAGAAATAAATTAGCATCTTGGATTTATATGTACTGGTATTTCGTTTATGATTACCAGATGATGACTTACAATGGTGTCAGGCACAAAATTTACCAATGTATGCAATGAGATGCATTTTTTTATAATGTTTCATCTTACCTGTATATCTTTCATGTGTAACATTATCAGTAAAAAGAAATCTGTCCTGATATCCTTTGACACTTAATTCTAACCATCTGCAGCTTCCTGGTAACTTAATTTATAGGTTACCATGAACATAGAAAACAACAGAATGTTTTACAAGATATCTGCCAGTGCCACTGTGCAAATATTGGGTGAATAAACTTAAATGCATTATAATTTTACTGTTTGCTGTTGAATCTCTCTCTCCATAATAAAAAACAGTTTCCTTTTTCTGTAAACTTGGCATTTATTCTACAAGCAAAAGAGTGACTAACCTCAATGTAATCTTCATAGAGCTGAGAATCTTTAACTGGGGCAGAATCATAAAAATGGTGAAGGTAACTTTTCACTCCAAAGTAGATAGGGCAACTCCTGCCTTGTGTTCCTCCACATCCTGGGACACTGTCATCTTCACCTTCCTCAGACTGCTGTGTTGGTTGTTGTTCTTGTTGATGGTGCCCTTTGTCTGGCCGGCTCTGTTGCTTCTGCTTTTCTTCTTCCTGTTCATGTGTTATTTGCTTTGGTACCTGTTGTTTTGGTTGCTTATGTCCCTGCTCTTTTGGCTTCTGTTCTTGTTGTGGCCATTTTGATTGATTTTTCTGTGTTGTTTCCTGTTGGGGCTGTTTTACTAATTGAAATTGCTGTTGCTGTTGATTTTCTTGCTTCGGCTGCGTCTTTGAGTCCCTTTCTTTTTCTTGCTTATGTGACTGGATGTGTTGTTGCTTGCATTTCTGTTCTGGTTGCCACTGTTGTTCTTCAGTTTCATTCTTTATTTCTTGTTTAAATTGTTTCTTTATCATTTGTTCTTGCTGTTTTTGTTGTGATTTTTCATTTGTCTGTGGTTGCTTTTGTTTTTTGTGCTCCACTAGTTTTTGTTCGTGGATTTTTACTTGTTCTCCTATTACTGATTGCTGCTGATTCTGCTGTGTGCATTTCTTCTCTTCATGCTTTTGAGTCTTCTCAATTTTCTGCTTGACTGGTTGCTGAGTCTGTCGTACTTGTTTCTGCTCAGCTTGTTCTTTTTCTTCTTTCTTGTGTCTGTTTTGTGTTTTCTGTTGTTTCTGCTGTTGTTCATTTTGCTGTGCAGGCATCTTCTCTTCTTTCTGTTGCTTTTGCTTCATTTGATTTTGTTCTTGTTGCTGCTTTTGTGTTTTTTCTTGTAATTGTGTCTGTTGCTTTTGTTCCTTCTGCTGTGTTTGTTGTCTCAGTGGTTGTGGCTTCAAGGGTGCTGGTTTCTCTTGTATAGACTGTTGAAATTTACATTCTAATTGCTTAAGTTGATCACTTATAGCAGCCTCTGTTGAGAATGAATTACCAACCTTTACTTTGTTATTTTCTTGATTTTGACTTGAATGCGTGACATCAGATCGCTGAATGCTTTCTTCACATTTTGCATCTCTTGTAACTGTTCCCTGAAACACCGTACATATTGGTTTATCTGTGACTGACATATCAAGAATACCTCGTGATTGATCGCTTTCATAAGATTTTTTTGGTGGTAGAATCATTTCAGATGCTAGAATCTTGTTATTCTTGGCTATATGTTTTTCATTTAATTTTACAGTTGTTTCCTGAGATGTGCATGTTTGTTTCTCTTGACTGTGTTCCATATCTTTCTCTACAGATTTCTGTGCTGACGATTCTGGAATTACCTTTACCATAAAACTTGACTTATAATCCAAGTCTAACACTCTTTCATCATCATTTGGTTCTTTTTGTTGTTCTCTATTTTCATATTCTTCTCTTTTTCCTTTTTCTGTATCATTGAAGTCTTTTATGTTGAGTTCTTCATTTGCTTTACTATTAGCTTCAGTCTCCTCTTTTTCATGTGTCTTCCAAAGCTCTTGTTTGTCAGTAGCCGTTTCAGTCAAAACTAAGTGTTTCATTGTTTCTTTTGAAGAAGACATTTCTCCTGCTTCATCCTTACTTTTCTCTTCCTGGGTAGCTTTAATCATTCCCTTCGGTCCTTCATCCACATCTATAAATGATAAGTCTTCTCGATTTTTTGCTTCCTTTTGCAGTGTGTGACAAACTTCATTGTTTACTAAAGTTACACTGGCATTTAATTCGACATCTGCCATACCATGCACTGCGTTATTAAATATGGTAACAGTTCTACCATCTTTCATTTCTCTCTCTTTCTTTGTAACGTCATGTTCTTTACACGGCTTCACTTTGTTTACTTCTGTAAGCATTCCCTCTTCCACTTCTTTATTCATATTTTCAGATATTTCGAGGTCTTGTTTCTTCTTTTCTTTATCACTGTCTCCACTGTCTGTTCGCATGGATTTGTCTGTGGCGTATTCCTTCTGGCTTTTGTCCAGTGATGCCTCAGTAGGACATTCCACGGTTTTGGGTATCTCGTTTGTTTTCTTACCCTGTTCATTTATTATTATATCCTTTGATGATGTTGCCTGGTTATTGGATTGCATTGTGTTCCCACTTACCATTTTAACTTCAATGCCTGCCTCTTCTTTGTATGTCACTGGGTCTTGGTTATTTCTTGTAACTGTGTGGTCTGCAGTTTCCAGCTGAATATTCCCCTCTTTGGATGGCAGAAATGCCATAGGAAACATCTTCAAACCTACCTTACCTTTATCAATCACCTCTTGAACTTCAGTCTCATGTGCCTTATCATCAGCCACCTGTAATACTTCTCTCCCCTTCTCATTTCCAGTTCCATCCTTAAATACTTCTTCTTTTCCCTCTTTCACACTTTTGTCCTTGCATTCTCCAGTCTCATCTTTGTATACAGACATTTCTGCTTCATCTTCTTTTCTTTCTTTGATTTTTTGCTTTGTTCCTTTGCCATCATTGTCTTTCTCAGCTTCACTTATAGCCTCCTTTTCTATATCATCCTTCTTATTTTCTTTGTCTTCACACTTCTCTCTATCATGACATTTCCCATTTTCAGGATTTCTAAATGGCTTTTCCTCCACCTCTTTCCCCCTTCCATTTATGTCTGTGGGATCTGTTCCTTCTTCATCATCAACTGTCCCTCCTTTATTGTCTGGCTCTTCTCCACTAGTGCTACTTTCTTTTCTTCCTCTCTCATCTGATTTCTTGCCCTCATCCATCCTCCCTCTTCAGTGCCTGCTTACATCCTGTTCTTCAGAGCAAAGAGTGTGGTTGATGTACCAGTGTACATCACTCTTTTTCTGCTCATTCTGAAATGCAATAGAAACCAAATTTTAATTCCACACACACATGTTCAAATACACGACCAGAATACTTACTGACATATCTTTTTAGTGTTTACGTGTTTGCCCGTGAAATGAACCAGAATGGTGAGGTAACATTCTTTCATTCATCGTCCTGTGTGCTTATATAGTTCATCTCAAAATTAATCAACAGAATCTGAAATATCTGCGGAACTGAACTAAACAATTATCACAGGAATTTTATTGTTGTTTGTATCGATACATTACAGGGGCACGCGGTACCTTAGTTCATAGAGATATTGGGTTTTCGGACTTTATCCATCGTCCTGGTTTCTAAGATAACTAAGAAAAACACGACGTTTCGGAAACTGGATCTGTTTCCATCCTCAGGTGAGGGAAAACACCTATTCTGTTGGGTCCCTTAGAAAGAGCTGGCCTCAATCACTGGACGACTGGACTTAGTTATTTCAGACACTATGCTACAGGCTGGAAGATCGCGGGATCGAATCCTAATGACGTGGATTTTTCAATTTACCTAATCCTTCCAGCCTCATTATGGGCCTGGGGTCGACTCAGTCTCTAACAAAAATGAGTACCAGGATTATTCCTGGGGGTAAAAGGCGGCTGGCACGTAAGGCTGACAATCTCACCGACATCTGTGAGCCGGTTGTCTAGAAAATGTGGGAGCCGCGACGTCTCACAACCCTATGGGCCTCCATGGCCTGTTACAGGGAGAGCTTTACCTTTTAAAAATTAAATTAAATTATTTTTCTTCTTCCTACAGGGTCTTCATCTCTTCCCCATGTCTTCTTTTTCACCTTCTCTTCTTGTTCTCCCATTCTCTCTTTCCTTTCCCTTCATTTCATCTTCCTCTTATGCTTCTTCTGTTTCTCAGTCATTATCTTCCTCTCACCTTATCCTGTTCATCATCTTTTTGTTCTTCTTCTATTCCTCCTCCATTTTTCTTCTGAAATATTCTGCCAACACAGCCGTGGCTTCAGGGTCTGAAAGGTCTAATTATGCAGAGAAGTAACTTTGCAACATTTTTACTTCGTGTTACAAAATTAATGCAAAAGATATTTATGCTGTTGAGAAGTGAAATATCTCCATTTGTTATTAGCAGGGCCTGGATTTTGATGACATGTCATCTTTTTTTCCTTGTACCTATGCGATGCTCTTAAATATATAAGTCTCGGATATGAGCTGCTGGTTACAGAAATGTAAATTTTACAGGTAATTTTTTGTCATTTTTTGACATTTTTAGGTTTAAGGTCTTTTTTTCATTTTTGCGGTATTTTTTTGGTAAATTTTTGGACTTTTAAGGGTATTTCTTGTCATTTTTTGCCATTTTAGGGAATTTTTCTTCATATGTTTTCTGAAATGTGAATAACATGGAAGCGAAATGTTCTCTGTTTTCTCCTTTAGGTCATTTTTCTGGATTTTTCGGTCATTTTATAGGTCATTTTTTGAATATTTTCAGGTCATCAAAATCCGGGCCCTGGTTATTAGTTTTGTCAACAACATAACCACTTCATATATGTATGTGACAGCTGTGTTCCACAAATGGCGCAGAGGGTAGAAAACATATCAATAGAACAGAATTCTCATTTTTCTCCTGGCATTCCTTTTACAGCACCTTCACAGTATTCTGTCCCTTCTTTCACCTTGCCTCTCTGTATTGGCAAGAAAGCAGTTCACCTTAAAATGAGTCCCACTAATCGAAATTGGTCTCAATTAGTCGAACATATCAAAATGGAAACTAGCACGTGACAAGGAACATCTCTATCTACGATATTCATATATCTAAGCGTATCTGTATTGCTCTAACACTACAGACTTGCATTTGATATGTGGCAGTTTCGGGTCAAGGCAGGATTACTGTCAATCGTGACATATTTAGTCGTTTTTCTGTCTCTCAAGACAAGTACCGAGATCCTGCTTTTAAATAGGTCACTACTCTTATCTTGCAGTCCATTACCTCTTTACAATTGATCATATTTTCCTCTCAGATATCGCTTTCAAACTGCCTCTTTAAACGACATTATTAAGAAAGCAAAGGATCAGTGAGTCCAATTCGAACATTTACTTTAGGGCTTCGGTTTCAAATGTTCGCAATTTTTGTCTTTCTCCCAAAGTCAGGGGTAATGTTTGACATCGTCACGCAAAACAAAGCACCACGGAGTCCAGGTGCATCATCCATTTCCCAAGGCGAAAGCCTTTTGAAATTTCCCCTTCCTGAAAGCGCAAGACGCCTGCGAAACGAGTGGTACTACAGGGCGTTCAATCCTTGAGGAAACCGGGGAATCAGCGTGAGTCGGATACAACATTTCTCACAGATTGCTGCTGTAACTGCCGATAGCGGAATGAGTCATCAGCGCTGAAAAACGCGCACACTCTCTCGATGTTTGAGCGCACTGTAGCTTCAAACTGCTGCAATGTGGAGAACACAGACATCACTGTCTTCATCTGACAGCAGCTTTGTCTATGCAGGAATTCTTTAGCATTCCACTAACTTAACTGTCTGGCCAACTGACTTCATTCTGCGGGCATCCGAGGAAAATTTCAGTTGCTCAGCTCGTCAAGAATTTCCCTGTTATTAATTTATTCTGCCGTAAATTTATTTAATGACACTTTCATTAATGAGATTATATAGTGTCGGATAGCAGACTGACTGATAATTTGGAAAGAAGTGGCTAAGGCCTGAACGAGGTACTATCCCACTATTTGCTGGGAGGGGTTGAGGAAAACCACGAAAATCATGGTCACGATAGCCGGTGTCTCGGTCGAAATTCAAACCGAGCATCCCCGCCCCCGCATATAAGTCTACAGCTTTACTTTTACACTAGCCTCTTCGGTCTCTGATATTATTAAAAACGGAAGGTTCTTAAATTTCTTTACAAAAGCACGTTTCCTTATTCTCTTGGTCCTCCTTCGTCTTATTTTGTTTCTTCGTCCCTTCCCTCTATGTTCTCTTCTTCTCTTTATCTTCTATCGTCTCCTCATCCTCCCTCCACCTGTTCTCGAAAAATGCAACGCATGGCAAGTTGTGGCACAATTGCTGTATGATATAAATACACAAAAACAAAATTTCTCACTCTATAACCAAGCGCCTGGTCAGAGACGAAGATAAGATGTGATAATGTGCTGCCTGATCAGGGCTACTGTATACTTAGGCGATGATGACAGGTGAGTATGGCGCAATGGTCGAATGATGATTAGCAAGGAAACATTGAAAAAACTAAAAGAAAAACCTGCTCCAAAGCCACTTCGATCACCATGAATCTCACGTGATACGACTCGGATTTTAACCCAAGACTCCGCAGTGGAAATCCAGCACCTAGCCCTCTGAACTACTTCGTGACCTATGCATAAATACTCTACTAAATGTTCATGTTGTAGACTTAACTCAGTAAGAAAATGCGAAATAAATCTTACAATGTTTGAAAAATGTTCATATTTTGCAGTGTTCGTAGCACACAGAATACCTAGACGTATGCGGGAGGATAGTGTGGCATGTTGAGCCGTTGGTAGGCAACGATCGCGAAAGAAACAGCTATACAACAGCCATTACTTAGCAACGGCTTCGCAAATATGCACGTCGGCAGGGTAACAATTGGAAACAGCAACAGAGTAACGGGTTTTTGTGTGGCTCCTGCCGAGATGTTATAAGCAGCAGAGTCAGTGATCGGGTTGCTGTGCCTGAGGTCAGGGAAGTTCAGGAACCCAGAGTAAGGGAGACGTCCGCCATTGGAAGCCTCTACCGAGCAACGGCCATGGAAGACTGAGAAAACTTTATGTGTGCTGTAGTTACAGGGATCTTTAGAGTATGTGAGTTAGTGAGACTGACGTAGTTATTTGCAGTTATGAGTGTAAGTGTTCAGTAAATGCCATTAGCAATCCAAATCCCGTTTATAATCACTTAAAAATAGTGACAATAATATTAGAGCACATGAACGAGACAGAAAGACTGGATTCATCTGACTCAGGATAGGGACCAGTGGTGGGCTTTTGTGAACACGGTATGAATTTTCGGGTTCCATAGAATTTGGGGAGCTGACAAGCTGAACAACTGTTGGCTTCTCAAAATGGACTGTGCTCCACTTAGTTCATTATGTATAATGATTCAGTCATTTCATCTTCCAAATTTGAAAGGCTGAAGCCACTGCCCATGCGAATAACAGAAGCAAATTCGAACCGAGTTTACGAACGTAAGTGGGTCAGAAATCACAAGTGCCATTTTGTGTACCGCGGTTAGCAGGGGCTGTCATCTGCACACTAACAGCGGTTACATCATACGCCTCCCTTTTGTAGAGACGCGGTAGAACTTCACTACAAACAAATTGCGAAACGAAACACTTTAATTTCACTAAAATTTTGTAAAGTTGTGTGACAGCTGCAGCGAAAACATACAACAGCAGTACGAACACTGACACTGATTGGTTGAACTCCCATCACGTGACAATCCTTGTCTCATTCAACACTAGTTACGCGATTACGCCAGGCCAGGTCAAGGGGAGAACAGAAAGTTTGCTACAAAGCAGATATTACATCTTAGGAAAGCCGGAATTATACAAGGCCATCGTTTGCCTCAAAGACTGTGTACCTGGAACATTGCCGTCTCCTGGGTGTGTGGTGGAACGTCATCAACGTTTCGGAGGAATCTGCTACCGCCACATTTCATTGATGCATCAGATTCTCCCGAAACGTCGGATACTGTTCGTTGCATAGCGACGCTGTAGTCAGCGTCTAAAATAGGACGATCAATGAACGTGGAGCAATTGGTGTAATGGGAACTGGCATGAAAACCCGAAATAAACCAGCTTCAGTGTCATCACAATTCTCGCATTACTTGACTTGGGATAGAACCCGGGCCGCTGTGATGGGAAGCATGCGACTAATCGCCTGAGCTTATGGCGCGGCCTGGAATATTAGTAACATTCTACGAAATAACACGGAGTCACGTCCTTGAGACTTGTCAAATTCCATGTTTCCTCTTATTTTCTAGA